GAATTTTCCATGGAAAAAATTGCAAAAAAAACTTTTAATTCAATTATAATTCGTGTATAATGTATCGAGAATCAAGTGTTCATTGACTTTTTTTTATGGGTGTGTATCGTGTGCGAAGGTGAAGTTCATGTGCTCGTGTTGTAACTCCTGCGAGGCGCTCCTCCTCGCAGCACTCGCAGCAAGGTTGACGACTGACCAGTTTCGCATTATATAATACCACCAGCCGGCATGTTTCCTTTTTTTTTTGCTTTTATTTTTGGCTACATACACGAAGACTAAAGCGAGCTGATTTTATTGCAATGTTTGCTTACTCGCGCACAAATAACGCTTGTTTTTGCAGCGCTGCAACGCCAAATCGAGCGAAATTTCCGCGTATTGTCGCATGGCCTGTGTGTGGACATTTGTTACATCGCTGTTTATCGCGACATTAAATAGCATTAGACAGCATTAAATCGCATTAAAAGATCATTCACACGTCAAAACGTGAACACATGTTCGACTTCGCGAGAGCGATCGTTTGTTAATTGATCGCTGCGGATACCTTTTTTCTATTCCAAATATGTCGACATGTCGCAGAGGTACAGTTGGCGCACGCATTGTACTCGCAGGCGTTTCGCGAACTGCGTGATATTAACATTCTCGGTGTCGTCGTTTTGCTGTTAGTTTGTTACTGTTAGTTCTCGCGAATCGCAATTGCCGCAATGTCGAATGTTTTGGCGACGCTTATGGCATACAAATCACTCATTGTCAATCTATAGGATAACGGCACGGGGCAGGCGACAGGCGACATTTGGTGACAGTTGAAATCTTGATCTTAACACTCTTCATCTTAACCTGTATTATTATCTATGCGGAATATACCTATGACGTAACAGGTTAGGTTATGTATTAAAAAAGGTAAAATTGCCTTTTTAAGTTTTGATTTTTGTTTGATTGCAGATCAACATTATGTCGCTGCGGATTCAAACAGCTCGTCGACGACAAAGTCCTTCGTGCCCTGCAAGGTGTGCGGCGACAAGGCGTCGGGCTACCACTACGGCGTTACGTCGTGCGAAGGATGCAAGGTAATCCACGATAATTTCCCCAATCACGCACACTCATATTCGTTGAATGCGTTGCATGCATGGATGCGCCTGTTACTTATATGCAGTATACCTTTCTCTTCGAGACTCCGAGAATAACGGTACCCTCGGTAAAGCCTTTTAAGCACCGTACCCTGCGCCCGGCGTGCCTTTCGAATTGTCACTGTTTCCATTCGTGGCCATTCTTCGCTTCTTGAAACACATTAATTCCAAACGCACGCCACTAATTACAAAACAAATAAAAGCAAGCTATGTTTGTTGTCCGTAGGGTTTTTTTCGACGCAGCATACAGAAGCAGATCGAGTATCGCTGCCTGCGCGATGGCAAATGTCTGGTGATACGTTTGAATAGGAATAGATGTCAATATTGTCGATTTAAGAAATGTCTCGCTGTTGGAATGTCGAGGGATTGTAAGTTTGGCGAAACTTTTATAGACGGAACAAATTTGTGAATGTTTTATTTTATTTCGGCAGCTGTAAGATATGGTAGGGTGCCAAAACGTTCTCGGGAGCGCAGCACAGAGGAAGCATCACGCGTTTCCACCACAGATGCGGATCAATCCGATGCGGAAACGAAGCAACTTGCTGTCTACGACGTTATCCTGACTGTGTCGCAGGCGCATCATGCGAACTGCGGTTACACGGAGGAGCACACTCGAAATTTAGTACGAAAACCGCTTGGTGAGATGCCTGCGAGTCCACAGGAGGATATTGCGGATGCGGCCTCTTCGACAGCGGATAGCATTGAGCTGCAGCGTTGTTGGTTGTGGCAGGAATTAGCTGCGAATGTGACGCCGAGCGTGCAGCGCGTGGTAGAATTTGCGAAACGCGTGCCCGGGTTCTGCGATCTGGGTCAGGATGATCAGCTGATACTGATCAAAATCGGATTTTTTGAGATCTGGCTCAGCCATGTCGCGAAACTCACCTCGGGAGCGTCGATGGTTTTCGACGATGGGACAACTGTTAGTCGACAACAGTTGGAAACTATGTATGATGTAAGTTTAGAAATTAAAAACGAAGAATTTAAATTTATTGTAATTTATTTTTATTGCTTAGGCTGATTTTGTCACGTCCATTATCCATTTCGCCAGCACATTTAACGCGCTTGCGTTGAACGACACGGAATTGGGATTATTTTCCGCTGTGGTGTTACTCACAGCCGATCGGCCCGGCATCACCGATGTCAAAACGATAGAACATTATCAGGATAAACTTATAGAAGCACTTAAAGTACAGGTAAACATAATCCATAGCTATCTTTTATTGTGGATTGTTTTTAATATACAATGCCATCGGTTTGTATTTGTATTGTAGGTGGGTCGTAATCATGCAAACGAACCACAACTCTTCTCGAATCTGCTGATAAAACTCCCCGAGCTGCGCAATCTAGGCGCAAAGCACACGGCACACCTGGACTGGTTTCGTCTGAACTGGTCCAAACTGACGCTGCCGCCGCTCTTCGCCGAAATCTTCGACATTCCCAAGTGCGAGGACGACTTGCAGTGAGGAAGCAGCATTGTAGATGTTTATCGGAGGCTTACGTGGGCTTTTTGCATCTGTATAATTCCTACACATGCCTCATCTTGCTCAAAAAACTTAGTAACCAATAAGGAAACCTTCATATACAATTATGTAAGCGGTACGCGGTGTAGGATGCAACAAGTACAAGAAAAAAAAGTGGAACCAAACTTATTTCTAGGCGATTATAAGAAACGTGGTGGGAAAACGAGACACGAAGACGTGAAACATTACATTTCATATCACACACACACACATAAAAGTTTGCTAGAAACAAAATGGCGGACAAAATGATAACTTACTTAATATATAACTATATAGTAAGAGAGAGTTCAATTAGATAACAGGGTCGTTAATATGTTAGTTAAGCAATAATTATTGTCGAATCGATGAATTGAAAAGTGAGAAACAAAAAGGTAACAATCTGATCATTAGCAATACTAATCACAAACAAAATGGAGCAATGAATTGAATAATCACAATCATCGCAATTTGTATCAGAATAATAGTCCTATATCACTGTTTAAAATTCATGCTACACAAGAGAAGAATACTATCATTAATTTTACCTTTAATGTGTGTCCAAGACTGTTATCCTGAAAACAGTTGTGATAGAAATATGAAGTAAAATGTATGCAACTCGACATATCAGCGAAGCGAAGAGAAAAAGCGAAAGATGAGAAAAACTGTAAAAATTACTTTAAACCTGTTTTGCAGTCTGCTCCAAAATATATAACATAGATTTCTATCTTGTACATAAGATATAATACTTATTACTTACATGCATAATTACGATTAATTGTTGAGAGATTGTAAAATTTATTTAAATTTCGGTGTGGACTACAACTATCATCACTATATCAGCCATTTTGTTGTTTTTTGAGATCATCGGCAATAAGCGCGACATTCAAAATGTGTTTTACACTAAGGACTAAGATTTTATTAAGATGACTTTACAATGATGATGAATTGCGGAGACGGACGAGAATACGTGAAGTAACAATCATATCCTACATATTTGACGAATGTAAAAAAAGACAAACGTTTATGGAAGACGTATCATAATATGTATTATTACAATTTAAATTTAACACTAAAACTTAACGTTGCAAATACTGTAAAAGATAACATTGGATGGTTTTTAGAGCGTTTAATATAAAAGGCGTGTGTTACAAGCGTTGGAAATCTCTACGTAGAGTACAAAAGTGATTTTTTATATAGAAGAGAACGAAATCGATATAAATATTGATGATGATGATGATCATGATGACAATTATTATTAAATGTTGTTTGAGGCTGTATAGTTTCTTCACCTTTTTGGTGTGCGTTAATCGGTAGCCATTTCAATGTTTAGACGCAGACAATTGAACAAATTTTAAACTATTTGACTGACTGCACTCTGATTTATCTTTGTTCGGGGCGAAACAAAAGACACTAATGTACTTATTATTTCACGTACTTATACTATGGTAGTTGTTTAGAGCGAATCTTAACTAGTGTGTTATATATATATAATTTGTTATATTTTAAGTTTTTAATTTTAGTTTGACGATTGTGTACATTTAACCTTTCGATTCCGGTGTTCCACTGCCTCTGTCGCATCAAATATTGTAATTATATCCATTGATATAAATATTCGGTATGCCATTTTTTATAAGACGATTATTATTTATTATAAATGTAGTTTAAGCATAATTACTTTAGCAGAACGTGAAAAAGACACTACACATACGACACAGACACAGAAACACACGACATAGAAATTTTAATTATAAATTATGTGCTCATATTTATACAATTAAGTCGCGATGAGGTCTGCGAGGATAAATCTCTATTGATATGATACTATGAATGTTAAATCGTTGTTATTACTCTTGTTTATTCTATTGAATTTTATATATTGATTGTTTACACGCGCACTATTTGCAGTAATCTTTTTTTATTATGTATGTATTTTGATTTATTTAATTTTTTGAGATTATTATTAATACCATGTTTCGTGGAGCGATGCTAAGTTATCGGAATTATTGTGGCAGGACGTTATACTGTAAGAGTTTTAAATATTTTGTATAGTTTTTAGTCGTCGGAGGAACAAAAACGCATTTGTTACAAAAATGATTGATGCATATTGTAAATTATTATCAATATTGATATTATTTTGCAAAAGTAAACAAATTCCTATCAAGTTGATTTAGTTTCAATAGTAAACAATTCTGCGAATTCGTTATATTGATAAGATTTGAACGTTACTATTTGTTCTAAACAACTTTGTTTTGGTGTATGTTTGGTTGCCTAAGTTGAACACTGTTAAATTGGATAAAATAGTGGCGTTTAGTGGTGCAATGTTGTACTATTTATCGACACAACCGACACGACGTCGGCGCTGATCGCCGCATAGTCGTGAGTGAGTGTAAGAGAGACACACTGAAGTCGAGCGCAAAATGGCGTCGTGAGCAAGGCAGTTGCAGTGTGTGCAGTGGGGTCGTCGCCGTCGTCGTCGCGTCTCGCCGTTGCTGCTCACAGTAAAAACGCCGCGTACTGATCAATAGCGAGCGCCCGCAAATGTGCGCGATTTGCGTGCACCGCGCGCGCCCTTAAAGCATGTAACCCCGGCACCCGCTGGACTTCCGCGATCCGCCGTGCCCGAGAGTGTTGTTGTGCTGGTCCGCCAGCCAGAGGATACACTGATACACACAACCACACATACACACGCATACCCGGAGCCGGAGTGCGCTCGTCGCCGTTCTCGTTTCGGCCCTTCGGCGTCACCATCGGGTTATGAGCGCCGACCATGGGCGCGCAGAATACCAAGGAACGCACGATCACGTCGGGAACGCATTCAATCCGCGCGACGAAGAGTAGGCCCAAGCCGACCAAAGATGGACGTCAGATCGTGTCCAACATCTTCACCGAGCATAGCGGTATGTATGCACTTCATGAATCATTTGCTCGCATGCGGAAACTCATCGAGGGGTTTCTATTGTTGATTTGTGTGGTGCTGTTGTATGCGAAACAATTGACGATCGTCTTCGGCATTTTGCTTTGCACCGCTGCGATTTGCGAACAAACAATACAAATCGGCATCGATTACCAGCGTGATTGCATTGTCGATTCGCGTCGAATGTTAGTCGCAATTTTCTCCACTTTGATTCGTGCAATTCTTATAAACGAGCCGTTCCACGTATTCGCGTTGTGCATTTGTTGTGTGTGTTTACACCAGCAACAAACTTCAACTCTATAACGGGATATCAAATCAAGGTTCCGTCAATAGTACACGCACAACACAATGATACACAACCGACACTCGCAGATTTATCATATTGCATTAATATATAAATTGCGTACTTCGTATTGTTAACTTTCACACTCATCATGTTGATGGAAATGTTAAATATTTGCTTTAAATTGTCAAAAAATCGAAGTGTTTTCTTTCCGAACCTCGGCCGGCATGTTTGAACATGTTAACGACTTGTTTTTCATTCTTTGTCGGCACGCAGAACACGAATTGATGTGTAGGGCGTGCAAGATTTCAAGAAAATATTTTAAACCTTCGTTTCTCCAGCACACAATTGAAATTATACCCACTTCCGGTTAATTATTTGTTTCCTAGGACGCGTTTTATTCAATTCTTTATCTTGTGTTATCATATTAACACCCAGTTATTATTCAATCTCTTATAATGTTTGTGTTGCGGTAGATTTTACTAAAAATCACGCTACACAGTTGTTTGTTTATCGTTTCCATAGCAACCTTGTCTTCGTCTGAATGCTTAATGTATGTGTCAACCCGTTTTTTTGCATGATTTTCATGAAAAATCTGACTCATTCCTTCATTACAGAAACATAACTAGAAAACAAACGATGATATAATTAAGTGTAAAGGAAGTTTGCTTTGTAGCTAGTTGTTTTGAAACGGAAGGCAATCAATCACGTAATGAATCATGTTTATCAATGTTTATTATTTAAATATGTTACTATACATTCATTGTTCAAATAAAGTGCAGATAAACGCATTTGTTGCGCACTACCAAAACGCAAACTGACATAAATCGATTCTGAACGTATTCGAGAGTGATAGTAATCGTGATAAGATTAAAGTTACAAATACTCATTGAAATGAAATTTTGAGAATTCTCGTGCTCTTATCATCAAGATAAAAATAACGTGAGTGAATCTTTCGGTCACATTCTTTGGAATAATTCCTTGGAGTCTATTTTCAACCGAAATGCGTCTCCCATCCGAAAATAGCGAGTTTAAAACGCGGAAACGCATCGTGGTTTCATGTCACAGCCAATTTCACCGTTTGACAATTTTAACCGGCGACACCGAAAAAAAAGTGTAATGTGTTTGTCTTAGCAAAAACAATTTCCGCCGAAATAATGACCGGTAATTAGCAAGATAATTGGGAGTAAATACTCGGACAAAGCGGTTAACAATTATAATCGTCCAACGAAATATAACTAGTTACGTACGCACATAAGCTGTTAAATTATTCGGAGAGTGAGGAAGGGTGTGCTCTAAATCTAATTATCCAATTTGTATTTTTGTCGATCGTCGAGAGTTGAGTGCGCGTCGGAGATGTGGGCTGTAAATTAATTAAGGGTTGCTTCCTGCTCGTTCTCGTGGAAGTAATTTCTTCGTTGGGTGACTCATAATTGCATGAAACAAATACACACCAGCGTGTGGAATTTCGTCAACAAATCTTTGGCGTGTCAGTAAAAATTTCCCGTTATATATTATTTGTTGATGAATTTCGTCGAAATGCGAGTTTCTGGCATGTTTGTGGGGACGACGTGCTGCCCCCGGGCGTTTCATTGTGCATCGCGCGCGCGTGCTCTCCCCCAATTCGGTACCTCGCCAAGGCTGCCGAGGGGGTTCAACTTGCTTGTTGGTTATTGCTTTCGCTTTGTGGAAGGATCCTTGCGCGTCGTTGCGTTGCACTCGGCGTCTGGATGGATTTTATAGGACTTTATTGACTCGCGTCGCGGCGTCGTTGCAGCGGCATGAGAGTGGTGTTAGCTTTGAACTACCCCAATGTCGATCACCCCATTTATCGACAACTATGTGCTCCTTTGGCCTCGGTCAATACCATTTTATTTTAGATTTTAATGATTTATTCTTTATTAACTTTTTTAGTCATCAATAAAATCTGTACAAGGCTAGAATGCGTCAGGTGGCAGACGCATTTTATTCATTCAAGTGCGGGGTTCTTGACTTATGAATGTATCAAATATTACATTTCATATTTATATTGCATATTTTCATCGTTGTAAGTAATATTTCAAATATTTGACTACTCTTTGCATACATAGCCATTACCACAAAATTTGTTTACTTTCGCGAATAGTAGTAGCGCATAAGTGCTTGGCTTGTTTACCGATAGAAGACGACTTCCCCATTTGTGAGTCTGAATTTTTTTGCTTTTATTCGAATACATAAATTGAGTAGGCACATCTAGTCGCCGCGCTAGTCTGGTGTACCTACATAGTAAAAAAGATGGAAATGCGTTTCGTCTCGGCGTAATGAATGTGAAGTTGTGAAGGAACGGCCGAGTGATCGTGGTCGTGAGTTTGTTATGACCTTGGCAAGGTCTGTGGTATGCGCCAGCCCGTCGTGGGATGCCGCGCGTGCAGGAACCATGCAAGAAGCGATCATTTATTTTCCACTCGTTTCCTTTCGATTCGATTTTTAACAAATTTTACAACTCGAAATTGTGTACAATGTTACATTTTTGATCATATGTATTTACAATTTAACTATTCATAGCAAAATTTTTCATTCATTTCCACTAAAAACAAAAAAAAAATATTTGTTGAATTTTTGTTTCTTTTAAATTTTAGCGAACGAGCACCGTGCGAGCATACGAAGCGTTCGTTCACATCCGTTTACAGGTGCGTATCGTCGGCACCGCTATTAATACAAAAAAATAAATACCACCAGCACCGAAATTATCGATCAACATGTGCACAAATGCAATTAAATAACTAACTCAAGACCTGCTTTCCTATAAAAACGTAAATATTCATTATGCCCGCGCATAAATAATCGACGGATGTGAGTGCTAACGTTAAACAGATGGCGCTCCTGTTTGTGTCGCACATGGTCGATGGACTTCCGATCCGCGGTCAAACGGAACCGGCATTTGTTTTTTTTCTGTCAATGAACCGTAAATTACGTAAAAATGTAGATTTGTAAATTTTGGATTTGCTGCGCGGAAGCACGTGTGACGGTGTGTAAATAAGATTCATAATAATATCATACGTGTCTGTGTTTTTGTAAACAACAATGGGATGATTCAGAGGATTCCACGTATAGCGACGAGTGTTTTACGATTTGATTGGATATAGCCTCTTAAAATTATACCTTTATAAGGAATTTATTTCAACTTTTTTTTTAACTTGGTATGGTTTTTAATACATTCATGTATGTGTTAGTAAAGTTTGAGTTTCAAGTACGCGAAACCGAAATTGTGCAATTTGTTACAGCGCTCTTCTTCGAAAGCGAATAATGATGTTTTGTTGCTGTTTCTCATCCCATGTCGTCATCAAATAAAAAAAAATCGACTAATTTCATAATTCCTAGTTTATACTTAACATATAAATAATAATATGTACGTATTTGCATTTAGTCATGACTTTGTTACGAAATGTGTAATCACGAAAAAAGATTACTCATGTGGTGGGTGGGTGCGTTCATGAATAGTTAATCATTTTTGTTGATATCATTATCTAATAATTGGCGTAAGTAGATGAAATAATTGGAAATGTTATGTGAGTAGCAAGAAACAAAAAAAAATACAACAGAACATGATGATGTTGATCGTTTAGTTAGCGTCTTGCAAAACGTCTGCTTTGCGCAATCTATCTTTCCGTAAGTTGAGTGCAACTAAGTGCGTAATGCGCTATTGTATTTTCATTCTTCATTCATCCCACCGCCGGCGAGAATTTCACACATCGCGTGAGTAGCATAATAGCACCTCCGGCTTCTTAAGTTGGCTTGCATTTTAATTTGTAATAGCGTGGACGGGTCGCCGTATCCGATAACAAACGCGTCGACAACGAGTACGAATGCAACCTGAGTTTTTCGTAGTAGGTTTTTTTGTACGTTTGTGGGCTTCGGATTACATCCTAAGAATTATTGAGTGATAGCAACAATGCTTGGCGAACGTAATAGACACTTTGCCGAGTTTTTTTTTACCGTGACATCCTGTATGTTGGCAATTAAAGCTATTAGTACGGGGGGCGTAATGGAGAAGAATAGTTCCCATGCTTTGTAATTACAGTTGTGCTACTTGCAAAATCGAATTTCACTAATTACAGCTAATTAAATCATTTAATCTGCATTTTTTTGTGTTGTTTTCAATCAATTAATTAATTTTTGTTTTTATTTTGGTGTTACAGAGGCGCTGCTGCAGAGCAGACCGTTGCCGCATATACCGAGTGTACCGGAAACTGACCCACCCGGGACACTCAGCTCGGCGGCGGTTAATGCCACCGTTGGAACATTGAGTTCGCTGGGTTCCGGCACCGCCTCCACGCCGCTGTCTCTTGAAACTGCCAACCGATGGACGTCCAAAGAAAATCTGCTCGCGCAGGAAGAGGACGATCCGCAACTGTTTGTCGCCCTTTACGACTTCCAAGCGGGTGGAGAGAATCAACTAAGTCTTAAGAAAGGTAATATATTTTGATAATACGTCAATTACGATAATTGTATATAAAATGATATTGTCTAGGTGAACAAGTGAGAATATTAAGTTATAACAAGAGCGGCGAATGGTGCGAAGCGCACTCGACGTCCAATCAAGTCGGCTGGGTGCCATCGAACTATGTGACGCCGGTTAATTCGCTGGAGAAACACTCGTGGTATCATGGTCCAATCGCACGTAACGCCGCCGAATATCTCCTGTCTTCGGGCATCAATGGTAGTTTTCTTGTGCGGGAGTCAGAAAGTTCTCCGGGACAGAGAAGTATATCGCTGCGTTATGAAGGTCGAGTATACCACTATCGCATCAACGAAGATGCCGAGAAAAAGGTATTTGTTACGGCCGAGAGCAAGTTTAACACTCTGGCCGAGCTAGTGCACCATCATTCCATGCAATCGGATGGTCTAATCACGCAACTACTCTACCCCGCACCCAAACATAATAAACCCACTGTGTTCCCACTGAGTCCCGAACCTGACGAGTGGGAAATTAACCGGACTGATATTGTAATGCGACATAAATTAGGCGGTGGGCAATATGGCGATGTATACGAAGCGGTGTGGAAGCGGTATAATATGACGGTTGCTGTAAAAACTCTCAAAGAGGACACGATGGCCCTCAAAGATTTTCTGGAGGAGGCTGCGATAATGAAAGAGATGAAACATCCTAATCTAGTGCAACTAATGGGCGTATGCACGAGAGAACCGCCGTTTTATATTATCACCGAGTTTATGAGCAAGGGCAATCTACTGGATTACTTGCGCAATGGTAACAAGGAGCAGATCAACGCGGTGGTCTTGATGTACATGGCCACGCAGATTGCCAGCGGCATGAGTTATCTAGAGGAGCGCATGTTTATTCATCGCGATCTTGCGGCGAGAAATTGTCTCGTTGGAGAGAATCATTTGGTTAAGGTGGCTGACTTTGGTTTGGCGAGACTGATGCGTGATGATACATACACAGCGCATGCGGGTGCCAAATTTCCGATTAAGTGGACCGCCCCGGAAGGTCTGGCTTACAATAAATTCAGCACCAAATCGGATGTGTGGGCGTTTGGCATTCTTCTTTGGGAGATTGCGACGTATGGGATGTCGCCGTATCCAGGCGTGGACTTGACTGATGTGTACCACATGTTGGAGAAGGGGTACCGAATGGAATGCCCGCAAGGGTGTCCGCCGAAGATTTATGATCTGATGAAGCAGTGCTGGCAGTGGCAAGCGCACGATCGGCCCACGTTCCGAGAGATACACCATGCTCTGGAGAATATGTTCCAGGAATCTAGCATTACTGAAGGTTAGTTTAGTGTCTATTTCTTCTTCTTCTTCAAATCTTGAGTTCAGTTGGTTGTTGGTAGTTAGCGGGTTGGGTTTGGCGTTTTTTAGCGATTTTGTTTAACTCTACTCGTTTTTTGTAACGTTCCGCAGAGGTTGAAAAGCAGTTGCAGGGCATGGAACCGCCGCCGGTTCCGCTGGGCACGCCGCACATGTCTTTTAAGAAGACGCACTCCGGCAGCACCGGCAACATTCACGGTCTAGTCTCTTTATCTGAACAGTCAACAGGTAGGAGTTGTATTTTATTTGTATTAGGTTAGTATTTAAGCTGTTTGTTTGGTTCTTAAAGATAATCTCACAACGTCGGCGAAATTAAGTACATTCACGGGTGGCTCATCGAAGAGCAATGTTCAGTTGCGGCGGACAACAAACAGGCGAGGAAAGCAGGCACCTGCGCCTCCCAAGCGCACCAGGTATTTACACAGCCACCAGCAGGAAAATGTGTTTCATACCAGATAATTATGATGTTCGTGTTTCAGCTTGTTGTCTTCTTGCAGTTCATTCCGCGACAGCACCATAGATGATCCCTACCAGGGCGACGGTGACACCGAGGCTGCCGACTTAAATGGTATTAATAACAAATTTAAAGGTAGATTTCTTCTGTGTATTACGGTGTTAGGTGGATGCAATCCTTGCAACCGTGGATGAAACCACATCAAGCTTTTATAATCCTGCTAAAAATGCATTTGTAAGAGTTACTAACGGTTTGTACATATCGGTAATCATTCATTGTTAACAATCATACATTTTAATTTCATATTGTTCGCTTTTGCATGTTTTAATTATGCGTTATTGTTAGAGTCGAGAATTATTCTTTGTGATGCACACTTTAGGGATGACTAGAGATCTGCAAAACCTTGCTGCAAGTGCAAAGGGAGGCGACAGCGAGAGCGAGCTACAGGACCAGACACCTGATACGGACGATTCCGGCGCACATTCCTATCCGGAGGTATCCGGTTCCGCGTTCGTCGTCCCTGGCAGCGGCTCGTTCAAGCGCGCGCCGATAATGGGAAATCGCGGTTTAGAACAGCGTGGGCGCAAGACAAAGACCTATCCAGACAAAGAACAGAAACAAGCGCAACCGCAGGTATGTTTAGTTTATCGCATATTATTTTATCTAAATGCATATGCTCTGTGCACTTGTAGGTTCAGGTCGCTGCCCTGGAAGTGCAAAATGTGCGCAAAGCTATTAGTCGCTACGGTACGCTACCGAAAGGAGCGCGAATCGGCGCCTACCTTGAATCTCTCCGCCAGAGCGGCATTTCTAGCCAGGAGCAAGCAGCTCAATCCACAACCACCACCAGTGTTTCTACTGCCAGCGCCGCGTCGTCTGCGCCAGTTAAGGATGCGAAGGAGACGTCACAACGTTCGCTTTCCCCACGTACGAATATCCGTACTCAACCCCAGATGATACGCAGTAACTCATCCAGCGGCGTGACCACCTTCCATGCTCAACAACCTCCTAGTTCGCCCACCGCTTCCAAATTTAATCGTAACCGTAACATGCAACGCAACAATACCGACCTAGGTGGCTGCAGTCTGCGCACATTTAAAGCAGCGCAGGGCAACAGTTTTCGCGGTGGTAGTCCGTCGCGTTCTGCCCAGCCTAGTTTAGCTGATTTAGAATTTCCGCCACCACCGACCGACTTGCCGCCACCGCCTGAGGAGTTTGATGGACCAGTTGAACCCATCGATTCTATGGGTTTCAACTGTATGACGTCGTCGGTGGAGATTCGCAAACGTGTTCCCATTTCACCGCTGACGTCACGCAAGCAAGAGACTGAAGATAACGACGTCAGCAATCTGCAGCCGTCTGTAGAAGAAGCGTCTTCTCGATTCGGCGTCAGTCTACGAAAGCGGGAGCCTTCTTCCGATAGCTGCAGCAGTGCCAACAAGGAAGATAAGGACCGCAGTCCGCATAGAACGAGCTTAAGTCTGACTAGCCCGAGTTTAGAGGGCAAGAGCCCAATGAGTATCGACTCGGACGTACCAACAGTGGGCTCCCCTATAGATCTGCCACCTCCAATCTTCCCTGGCGATGGTGATGTTGACGAAACGGACGATTGTGGTCCGATCGCTGGCGGAGCAGGTGATGAAGGCAAGAAATTGCTGAACTCACGACTGCTCAAAGAGATGGAGCTCAAGCTGGTGGCGGAAATGAAGGAGCGCGCCGACCAGAAGCAGAAGAATGTGAAAGAATCGCCCGACTCTCTATTGGCTGTGAGTAGCATTAGTAATGATCCCGTATCTCAATTAGTTTCCGAACTGTCCGAACAGTTGAACTTGCCAAAGGCGACGCCTACGCCGCCTGTCACAACGAAGCCCGAAACAAACGGCGCATTTCTACAGAACCTAAAGAAGGTTGAGCCGCCAAAGAAAAACACGCAGAAAGATAAAAACGACTCGGTCGACAGCGGCATTATGATCGATTTTAAGTCACGCTTGCGGAAAGTCGATAACGGAAACGAGAAACACGAGAAAAAGTCTGATGACGATGATAAGAGCGAACAAAATAAGAACAATCTTGACGCCGACGAGAACAACAAGCGCGAGAGCATTGCAAGCTCAGATGGGGGCAATGCAAAGTTGGAGGAAGGGGATGACAAACGTAAGAGTACCGGAAGCATCAGTTCGCTGAAAAAGCTATGGGAAACGAAGGAATCGATTGAAGTGTCCAATAATACTCAGTTATCACCCAAACTTGGCGTGAAGAATATGAAAAACGATGAGCTTATCACCGAAATTGCGGCGACAGAGCCGGAAGAGACGTCGAAAAACACCAAGAACGAAAAGCGTGTCTGGCCGCCATCGTCCGTGATCGATGACAAGCCGCTCATTCCCACCAAGCCACCGGTAAAGCTAAAACCTATTATGCGACCAGCGAGTTCAGCGATTTACGCCACTCCAATCGCATCGGCGAACAATAAACCGCCTATTTCCGCTAAGCCCATTAACTTGGAGAGCAAAACTCCAGAAGAAGACGCCAAGATCACAAACGACGGCAAGACTGAGAACAAAAATAATATCTTGCAGATCTCGCGCGCGCTGGAGTCGACCCTCAACAGTATTAAGAACAATCCGACCGTCACGTCGACCACTTGGCTACAGCTATCCGACAAAATTGGCCTGCTTCATACTTCGTGCATGGACTATGCCGACAATGTGGTGCCCGCACACACCAAGTTCCAATTTCGCGAGCTGCTCACCAAACTGGAAACGCAGGCCCGCCAGATGCGCACGGCTGGTTCGCGTAACTCATCGGAGAACTCGCGCTGCGTGAACGACGTCATCAATACGATCAAAGATGTCGAGAATGTCGTCGTGCGATAGGGAACATCAATTATTACGACTGCGTAGGACCACTAAGTAGGACTTAAGTTAAGGGAAACACGTTTCCGGTTTTGTTTCGGAGATGAAAAGTATTCGTTTGCATTTACGCCAGAGAAAGATGAAAGGTACAAGTGTCCCTCTTTGTACCAACGATTAAGTTTTCAGTAAATGGCTTGTCAGTCGTGTATTAATGTCGTATCAAAGCCGCCAAAAACCAATACGAGTAGTTTAAAGCAATTGTATTCGTCTTTTTTATTAGGGATATTTTAGATTGTCTGTAAATTCATTTTCACTCAACTGTGATACAAATATGTTAATTTTACAAGTTTTACACCCACATGCTCAATGGAAATGTTTATTATTTAACGTTTCAACTAACTTGTTTTTTATTCTGGTCTTTGCGGCGACATTTTTGTCTATTCTACGACGATTATATATCGTGCGAACCCTTTTGGAGAATTATATCGTTGTGCGCGCGCGACAAAAAGAAATAGTTGCAGAACATCTATTTTATTTTTTATTTATAATGACAATTATGCTAGTCTTCATTTGTAAATTATATGTTTAGAGTGTGTGAAAATGCTGACAAAAAGTGGATGTGAAGTATAGTTTCTACATATATTTTTAAAAATTAGGCAATGAAACAAAAACGAAATTTCCCTGATCGTTCGTTCGATCAGCGTGTGACTTGACAGGATACGAATGTTGTTGGCGCACGAAGATGAATGACTTTTTACAACTTATATGATACTATTTTGTATAATCCAAAGATGAATTTAACTTTAGTTGTAGCGAATGCGCAATCCGCGGAGATTTTTGCATGGCCTGCAAGTCGTGTGCGATTTAATAAGTTATTATTATTATTTTTTGATATAGATATATGGATTAATTAATTAATCTTGGAATTTAATTATTTTGTAAATACCTATATATACTTTTATATCGTAAGTAATCAATTAATTGTTAGACTGATATAATTTTGCACTTGTATTCATAAACATATTCATCAAAAGTGTGTGACCTCGCTACAAAGTAAGCGTTTTTCAACGAAATTTTTCAAATCTGTATGCTCAGCGAACAATACCGAACACTTTCTTCCGCCCTAACGGTAGAAAGAAACTCATATGAATATAAATATCACACTATAGTTTAATCGATCACGTCATTGACTCAACCAGTTGAATAATACTATGAATTAAATTGCATTTTCATGCAGCGATTGTTGTTTATAATCTACGATTTACAACAATTACAACGATATACTCATCCTACTTGTGCAAAAGAGGCACTCACAACTACACGCTAATACAAAACATGAACGGTGAAAATACTGCTGATCTGTGTCGAATATATTATATCATTAGCCATTTTAGCATGAATATAATAGTACTTTCACATTTATGCGAAATCACACCGATGTTTGTACTTTGTTCTCTTTAAAGTTAGTTTTGTGCCATTTGGAATTCGATCAGTCTTCGGACGGAACACATGCACTTATAGAGGAAATGTGTACAAAATAAAAATATTCTAAACGAAAACAACAAATGATACACGGTTTTATAGTTCTTGGCGTAATATTGTAAGTGTAATCGTTCGACAGCAGACAAGGGCAACAACATTAACGCAATTTTTGATATTCCTTCTTTTATGTATATACAAAATATATTTATGCTGGAATCATGTACAGGCTTTATTGATAGGGGATAACAGACTGTATCTACTTAAATAGATTTGCTAAACTTTCGTTTCTGCCTTTAGTCAAATTCCATGTTGTCAGTTATTTGTTTCTTGAATAAGTTCATTCAAATTTTCGAATTCAAAAGGGAAAATAAACGCATTGCTGCCATCACTAGCAAAGGAAAATGAAAACGTTTTGTATCTAGCGAGATTTTAGTAATTTCTACCGAGTTGTGAACCTTCGTTCACAGTTGGCAACTCGTGTGTCAAACGTGGCGTGTAGGTTAAGTTTATGTTCACAAGAAAGTTTCCTTGTGGTATTCGATTTGTTTGGCTCAATCTCAGTTTACCTAATTAATTAGTTGACAATATAATTTAAAAATGACTTACATAAAAACGTGGGAGGACTTTGAAAAGGCAGGAGAACGTTTATACCTTCAGGAACCGACTAAAGTGCGATATACAATGAAGTACACTCATTCAAAGAACCAGCTTATACTGAAGATGACTGATGATGTTGTAGTAAGTTTGGTATTGATTATTATGGCGGTTATTGAAATTAATACAGTGTTAATCTTGTTTTAGTGTTTACAATTTAAAACAGAGATTGCTCAGGATGTTAGGAAAATTGACAAATTCATTAATAATTTGATGCGACATATGGCTTCCAAGGAACACTAGTTATATTTATATGATATTATATTAATACTCCAATAAATTATATTGGAAGTTTTGTATGTACTGCCATATGAAGAAGAGGCATGGCACTATGTGGTGAATTGTGTGCATAATATTATTTGTATGGATGATATTTTGGTTACAAATTTTTCATTGTATTTAAATAATAAATTTAAGTTTCCCCAGGATTTGTAGTTCTTACTAGAAATGTAGATATGCCAGGACTGGAAGTACAAGGAGAATCTAAGACAAATATTCTTGATGTAAGTAGGGGGCTATAATACAGATGCATATATGTTATTCTTTTTTAAATTTCTTTGAATTTACTTTCTTTATATACTGATGTATATGAAGAATAAAGAATATCTATATAATTATAGACAAAATTTTATTTAAAAATGTTTTTTTGGGATAATGATAACCCAATGTTGGGAACATGTTTTAATCTGTAGATAGATTGTTTTGCCAATGTCCTTTGTGTTGTGTTTAAATGTGACTTGTGTTGCCGGGTGGGAAATTGTTATAGCTAGTAGATAGGTATGTCTTATAGAAGTAGTATAGTAATATTCTATAGTATATAGTAATAGTATAGCAATAGTATACTAGTAGTATATGTGTAATAGTCTGCATATTTGATAAAATGTGTTTTGAATTTAAACCTGCCGTTATTAGATAGTCGGTTAGATGGCACTACGATGCACGTTTTCGCGATAAATATTGCTTGTCGTTAGTAGTGAGTGCACACCGTGTCCGTGTGCGATCACGCGATTTTGCACAAGAGATAAGTTTGTTTACCTGCAGACATCGAATCTTTATTTCTTGGAATAAAATCACATTTTGCTGTTTATATTGGCATCGTAAATTTAAGCAAGTATTCCTTAAGAAATGAAGAATCTTATAAAAATCATCATCAGCTAAACATTTTTATCATCTGCATATTACTTATGCAGATATCACTTAAATATTTGATGTAAAATCTGGCACTCTGTCAGCATAAGAAATCATAGCTAGTAGATAGGTAGTATGTCTTATAGAAGTAGTATAGCAATAGTATCGCAGTAGTATAGCAATAATATACTAGTAGTATAGAAGTAGTAGTCTGGTGATATATATAGGACTTTGGTTTTTAATAAATAAATTTTACAGGTAATTTTAAAAGTAAAACTCTCGTAAAACTATTGTTTCTCAAAAACAAGTGACGTCAACACGATAGCAACGTGTGAAATGTGATAATTTCTTTACTCGCTCACTTTTATTTACGTAGTTGCTGTTGCAGTTCGGACAAAGCACCGAACGCGGTGCTATTTATTATCTTATATAATAAGGATTTGAAAACCATGCCACATGTAAACGTTTAAATCTTTTCACTTAACTTTTAACATTCTAGATTTAAAGCGGATGATTTATGTGAAACTAATTAATAAAATTAATAAATGACTTTTAAGATAACAAAACATATTGCAGAAGTAGTTAAAAAAGATAATTACGACAAGTTTTGAGTTATTTATTTAATGTTTACGATTGATATTATTGAATTTGGCTTGTATACACATACTTTCAAGACTTGTTTTCGTTTTTTGTAGGGTGTGTTATCAGTGATTGGATTTGCGTGTGTTGCTGCGCACAATGTTACCTGAGTCAAACGATACTCTGCACGCTGCTGACATCAACGGCGACATTTGGCAAATAGTTTTATTCTAGCCGTCGGACGGTGTGGTCGGCTTTACCTGTGTTCTTAATTAAATAATTCGGTGATTCGCGCTGTATTCGATCAATACTTAATGATATTTGAGTGAATTGACCATTGAATCAATTCGAAGATGGAATTATTTATTATAAAATGTGAATTTAATGTTTTGTGTACTGTTTCCGCCGGTGAATGTGCTAACTCCAATATGGAATCTACATATATTCAACTAGATATTGAGCTACACATATTGCGGTACAAGTGGCATGCCAAGTAAGTTTTCATATTGTCCGGAACATGTGGGTTGTCATGTATTATCTTACTGCGACGAATTGAACATAATTTTCCGCGATATTGTAAACTAAATGCGATAGGAAAGAATGAATTGCAAATTCTTAATCTACGAAATTCTTTATTAGATACCATACAAAAATCGGGAAAATAAGACTCGTGTTTCTCAATATTTCAGTTATTTTCTCATTAACCCAAAGCGGTAGAACGAAACAGATTGAAAATTCGAAATATTCGGAATCTGCTTCAGTATTTGCTTTTCGAGATCCGCTGTCAAATACTTTGGTAAGATAGTTATAATTAAGTAATGCTTGGGTTAAATTTCTCGTACATTATTAAAAAATTCGTTGATTTTTTGGAAGTTTAGGAAGATCTCTTCCTGCAATTTTAGATTGTCTTCTAGAATCTAGTTGTTATTCTTTGTATTCCTGCTTATAACATTTTTATTTATTTTATTATTCATGACATCCTGCCTTTATTAGTAATAGTGATTAGCATTGTTTTGAGTTGCGCGCAGCCAACATGCAAAATGAAACAACCTATCTCCAGGGTCGCGTTCAGCAAGCATATTGCAAACTGATAGTGACCGCGTGTTGTCGCCGTGGACTGGGCACGTTGCAGTTTTATTTCGAACGCCGGATAAATCGCGCGTGTTCATCACAACTAGTTCTGTTTCGTCCGATTATAATTAGGTATAGGTATCGGTTTATATTCCACAAACAATTAACGGCATATATAGGAATCGGGCGTGATCCGGAGTTTTGCTACTCGTAGTACGATTGCACGCGTTAAATGTGCATCAATCGCAGATTCATCGTTAGTTCATTTGTGCTCGCGTGTGGTTCCGTCGGCCGTCTCTGATTATTTTTCACCTGTGGAATTATACAGAACTCAATTTTGGAATAGAATTTGTTGGTTCTCAATTAGCAAATATAGGAGCTTCCATGTAAGTAAAATTTCTTTGTTTTCATTACGCGTAACACTAACTTACGTTGCGTAACATTAAAACCGTAGGCATTATTATTAGCTAAATCTATTTGCATTTTCATCAACAATTAACGTGTCGCGGAGTGTAAATTTATATGGCTCGTCGACCGTCGGCTATCCTCCGAAGCGGGGATTCAAGTAAAAAATAATATTACATTTTATTATAAATTGTTTTGTATAACATCCTCTTACCATTTCTGTATCCTGGTATTACACGTGAAAAATAGATTGTCTCTCTAGTTTTGGTCCTTGTCTTTCTTGAACTTTGGATTTTCTTTCCTCTAACAATCTGTGTGCATTCCTTTTCATTGCGTGAACATAAGCTAAAGCTTGTAGGTTTGGTTGTTTCTTAATTACAGAGTTACCAAATATCTGTTTGAGGCACTCACAATATCTTAATTTGCTTTGACATCCATACATAAATGAGCTGTATTTGTTGTTTTGGAGTGTCTCTCGTTTCGATCTATGAATTTTTCTTTTTACAACACCCTGTATATCAATTTTCCTTTATGTCACGTGAAAAATAGCCATACTTGTAGTGTTTAAAGTTTGCCATTGACGTATATTCTAAAGTGAGAAGTTATTTTCTTTTTGTGACACCCTGTATATCAGTTTCCCGGAGAAGCCTCGAGTGAAAAACGAGCAATATTTGTAGTGTTTAGTGATGAGTTTTCTGTTGTCATATTAATTTTTTTATTTGTAACACCCAGTATATTTGTTCCCATTTTCAATCACCTAGAAATGGACTATTTGCGCTAATTTCTTTATCGGCGGGAACTGTACAGTACTTGCTTATATGTGCGCGCGGCTATGCAGCTCACGTAAGTCTAATCTCCAATACGGCGGCATGTATTCTGTTGACTTGTAAAATCTAAACTTGTATTCTATTAATAAAAGAAATAGTAAGATATATTGACACCTTTGATTTGTGTGTTCGCCTACTATCATTTCAGGAACTGGTCTCTAAAGAGTTCCCTCTCTCAGGGATGATCCCTCTATAAAAATTGATAAGGTAACCTGTATGATTTGTGTACTCCTTCTTTCATTTCAGCTACAGGTCAGGAACTTGTAGGAAATATTTTTTAAAAGTGTCACCTCTTGAGGCGACTTAAGCGAAATATTTGAACAAGACCTTATAAGGATTGTCCTTATAAGGGAGTTCCCTCTCTCTAAGGGATGAACCCCACCATAAAAATTGTTGATAATGCCTACCACCACCGGTAATTTCGGGGATGAAGCGCAGAACATCGTAGCTGGCCAGGATGGGCCAGGGCAATGGACGCGGCATCGGGAAACGGTAAAACTACAATTCCTAGCGCAACGAGTACAAGTGTGTATACACGCAAATATCAATATAACTCGTGATACGGAATTTTCTCGCAATAAGTTTTGATACAGAGAGATACAGAATTAAATTCCGCATATAAGAAAATTATTCCGAACGTACAGTAAAACCGCGTTCGCGTGTTATTATAATAAAAAAAAACTACTATTCCTAGGTCAGTGCCGGTTTTAGCACTACCAGCGCCCTGGGCGAGATTTCTACGGCACTCCGTAACTGCAATTCAAATCCATACGAAAAAACCGGCCAAGTGCGAGTGGGCTCTATCAGATAAAAATATAAAATAATTATATTTCCTACAGTAAAAGGTCGAAAAACGCGACTAAAAGTGCTAAAAGTGACATTTTGCAATTTTTGCCCATTTTATTCAATCGCGAATATCTCGTAAACTAAAAGAGATAAATAAGATCTGATCGCAGCGTCTTAATCTACGGACCAATCTCTATCAGATAGGATAGTTAAAAGGAAATCTGAGAGATGAAATTTTAAGTCTTAAGAAAAATTGCCAAGGGGGTGCTTGATACTTTTTTTCGACGATTTTCAAAAATTCATATCTCTTAAACTAAAAGAGATAGCTACCAACGAATTGTTGATTATGAAAGATTGGAAAATTCTCTATCAGATAAAAATATAAAATAATTATATTTCCTACAGTAAAAGGTCGAAAACGCGACTAAAAGTGCTAAAAGTGACATTTTGCAATTTTGCCCATTTTATTCAATCGCGAATATCTCGTAAACTAAAAGAGATAAATAAGATCTGATCGCAGCGTCTTAATCTACGGACCAATCTCTATCAGATAGGATAGTTAAAACGGAAATCTGAGAGATGAAATTTTAATTCTTAAGAAAAAATTGCCAAGGGGGTGCTTGATACTTTTTTCGACGATTTTCAAAATTAATATCTCTTAAACTAAAAGAGATAGCTACCAACGAATTGTTGATTATGAAAGATTGGAAAATTCTCTATCAGATAAAAATATAAAATAATTATATTTCCTACAGTAAAAGGTCGAAAAACGCGACTAAAAGTGCTAAAAAGTGACATTTTGCAATTTTTGCCCATTTTATTCAATCGCGAATATCTCGTAAACTAAAAGAGATAATTAAGATCTGATCGCAGCGTCTTAATCTACGGACCATTCTCTATCAGATAGGATTGTTAAAACGGAAATCTGAGAGATGAAATTTTAATTCTTAAGACAAAAATTGCCAAGGGGGGGTGCTTGATACTTTTTTTCGACGATTTTCAAAAATTAATATCTCTTAAACTAAAAGAGATAGCTACCAACGAATTGTTGATTATGAAAGATTGGAAAATTCTCTATCAGATAAAAATATAAAATAATTATATTTCCTACAGTACAAGGTCGAAAAACGCGACTAAAAGTGCTAAAAAGTGACATTTTGCAATTTTTGCCCATTTTATTCAATCGCGAATATCTCGTAAACTAAAAGAGATAATTAAGATCTGATCGCAGCGTCTTAATCTACGGACCATTCTCTATCAGATAGGATAGTTAAAACGGAAATCTGAGAGATGAAATTTTAATTCTTAAGAAAAAATTGCCAAGGGGGGGTGCTTGATACTTTTTTTCGACGATTTTCAAAAATTCATATCTCTTAAACTAAAAGAGATAGCTACCAACGAATTGTTGATTATGAAAGATTGGAAAATTCTCTATCAGATAAAAATATAAAATAATTATATTTCCTACAGTAAAAGGTCGAAAAACGCGACTAAAAGTGCTAAAAAGTGACATTTTGCAATTTTTGCCCATTTTATTCAATCGCGAATATCTCGTAAACTAAAAGAGATAAATAAGATCTGATCGCAGCGTCTTAATCTACGGACCAATCTCTATCAGATAGGATAGTTAAAACGGAAATCTGAGAGATGAAATTTTAAATCTTAAGAAAAAATTGCCAAGGGGGGGTGCTTGATACTTTTTTTCGACGATTTTCAAAAATTAATATCTCTTAAACTAAAAGAGATAGCTACCAACGAATTGTTGATTATGAAAGATTGGAAAATTGTCTATCAGATAAAAATATAAAATAATTATATTTCCAACAGTACAAGGTCGAAAAACGCGATTAAAAGTGCTAAAAAGTGACATTTTGCAATTTTTGCCCATTTTATTCAATCGCGAATATCTCGTAAACTAAAAGAGATAATTAAGATCGCATCGCAGCGTCTTAATCTATGGACTATTCTCTATAAGATAGGCTAGTTAAAACGGAAATCTAAGAGATGAAATTTTAATTCATAAGAAAAATTTTGGCAAGGGAAGGTGCTTGATAATTTTTTTGACAATTTTCAAAAGCGAATATCTTTCAAACTAAAAGAGATAGCAACCAGAAAATTGTTTATAACAGATGAAGATTCTCTATCAGATGGAAATTTAAAATAATTTAAATAATTTAAATCTTGAGGTAAAACCTCCATCGTGGAATTTTCGATAGGAGTCGTGAGAAATTCGTTTGAAGCTACCCGATACCTGCACGAAATTGGCCACAATCGACGTACTCGTATAGTGCATGCCGTAGCCGAGCAAGCGACGACCCAACAGTTTATGATAAGAAAGTAAGAAGTGCGCAAAGCCGGCGCGTCGATGGCACGCGACGACTGCCCGCCACCTTGTGCGTGAATGGCAATAGGCACAATATCTGCGATTTAAACTAAACTAAAACAAGAGCAGAGCGAGACGTGAAAGGTTGGCAACGACAACACACGGTAATCTTGGACGTTGCTATTCGCACAGCGATAAGAAAGTGTAAATCGTGTTCAAAACAAACACAATTCTCATGTCGAATGTTCACGTTCGCAGATAAATTTAAATATAAACAAAACAATTCACATAATTCAAAATTCTTATGCTGAAGATTACCCAATTTCACATCCAATATTTCAGTGATATATTAATTTACGTTGAGACGTTGAGAATTGTATTTTATTGAATCTTACTTAAATAAAATTTCAACCACATTGCTGAAAAACAATAACACAAAATAACATGACAACTAAACTGAAATCTATGTACCTACACGGCAAACAGTTTTTATAAATAATGGGATTATTTTACTTACCAGTTATAGAAGACGGTGAATCGACGGCAAGTTGGTAGATACTGAAATAAATTAGAAACAATGCATTAATTACATTATTTTTAACAATATTGAAATGAATTTGAGTTCCGTCGGAACGTAAACTTTGAATGAAAATTCTTGTTATTTGCATAATAATGATAAGAATGACATTACCAGATATTAGTGCATTAGTTCATGCACCTCTGTTGATGGCAAAAATGTTTTTCACAAATCAATTAATTCTTGGCGTTCACAAAATATCCCCGGCCGTCGCCCGACGGCGACAACCTCACACAAACAAACTCGCGATAAACTAAACATGCCAAATTTAGAATTACGAAAATTACCACGCGATAAACAACTAGTAGAAGACCAAACACGCCTATTAACACTAATTTTCACCGGAGATCAACATATAACTCGATTTACCGAACTTGCAACAACGAATAACACAAACTGAAAGTATGGAATGTGTGCTCATCGTTATCGCACCGATGCAACAAAACAAAATTCACTCGCTGGAATATTTTTACGCAAACATACATTGTCGCGCCATCTGCAGACTTTTTGTAGTACCACAAAAAGTATAGAGTATTTTCAAGTGTAGCGTGCATATGTGGCAGTGAGTGGCCAGGCATTTAAATAGGAGGCCTTCGTGCCATACCCAAAGCAGGTTTGCCATATATAAATGCATAGTTAATATCCGCTATTTTGAGCGGTTGCAGGTGTAAAATTTAAGTCAAAAGTGTATCCTAGCGAATGCGCAGCCATCTGAGCTGCTATTATTACAGAAAACTTCACGTGCCTGCATAGCCATCAGACAAAGTTTAGCGAGCACAGACCGAGAACTAGAATACAGACCGAATATTTTCAAGCATCATGCGGTTAGCAACTTTTCAACAAATTATTGAAATTTATTTCTAGAAAAGGTATCGCAAATCATTACAATAATCACAATAAATACAAAATGGTAAAAACTAAAACGCATATCGGCGACGAATGTCCTCAAGTTTCTTGGAGACTTCAGCTGGAGTTCGTTCCAAGTCGATTGCAAGAGATTTCTGCTTTGCTGGCTCCATCGAATTGTACTGTTCACAAAGATCTCCATCAATGACATTCTGTAACAAAGTTACAAATTATTTTAATATTTAATGCCATCAGGAAAAGAAGTAATAACATTTCTGATTTTCCTCAGTTATTAAAGGTTTCCATATCATTGCCATATCATAAGTCTAGCATGTGAAAAGATTTCATCATACAAGCCGAAAGTAATTAGGGATTAAGAGAAAAATGAAAACAAACCTTAACAGGAAAATAGTAACTCCTAAACGAAAGGTGGTCTCGTCCACAAAGCGGCGCATTCTCGCTTCGCATATGCATTTCTAAATGTTGAAAAGAAGTCGTGATCTTCATGAGAAGTAAACGGCACAAATACACCGACAGAACCGCTAATTGTCGTGTAAACAAGAGACTCCCAGCCTCCGGGAGGAATCAACGTGGTTTTCTGCAAGGATGTGACAGTTTCTCCCACGTGGAAAGTCGCTACGGTGTCTGCTTTTGCGAAGCGCCGTTTAGCAATCCCCTGTCCCAAAGCGACTTATTTCCCGTAGGATCTTCGTCAACATCGTCGCTGATATTCGGTGGTAAGCGAACAATCGAAATGTTACCAAACTTATCAGCGGTAGCGACAGTCTCATAATCTAGCACAGACGTGCATGTAATCCAGCGGGGATGAGTGTCGTCGGCAAATATGATCAGTTGATTTTCGGCACGTTTATAGCGTACCATGTATACAGACTCCTGTACGTCCGCAACGTAGATTCGCTTACCCATCGCTTGAATGCTGACGATCAAATTTGGAATGTGCTATACAAAAATATATAGAAATTAGAAAATTTTGTAAATTATAAACAAAAGTATTAATTGAAATAAAATTGATCAGTACTGCAGGAGTCTCAACATAATTATTATGACTCGTGTGATATTGTCATCAGAAAAGTGAATTAATATTTAATAGAAGTTAATAACACAAACCTTGTTTTCGCATTTTCTCAAGAGTTTCTTCTTGCCCATATCATACATGCGCAACATCCTCCCTACACCAGCTAATAAACGACCATTGTACGCACAAACTGCGTAGGGTACTTCATCCACAGGAGTCCTGTGCAAAAGTTCAATATTTCTGCAGTGTGGATCCAACCGATAAGTGTCCAAGAAGCCTTGACTGCATTGTCGAGGGTTTAGCTGCAGATCTTTCGCAACACCAACGATCAAATACCATGTGTCTACGGAATTGTGGAATTTTACGAGGGCAATTGACATTGCAGCCTCATTTTGTACTAATCTGTGTTGTTGATGTGTCACGCCCTACAAACCAACAAAAATATTAGTTTAAACCAACGAATAAAACACAAATTATAACTATTAAATAAAAATAAAATTGTCGCATGGTTAGGAGACCCAAAATTTCCAGAATCGAAAATATTGGTACTATGGCCAGTTCTATGTTCTGGGGACTCAACAAAGCGTTTGAGTATTATCGGAATACACAACATTAAAATCGTGTCCCCATGTTTTGTTATTAACAAAATCTAAAATAATAATTACCATAACGGGATCCATGAGTCGCACCGTTGATGCCCACATCCCATGTCCAGCTTTCGGAGCCGAGAAGATATTCTCTGGTAAATCTTCGTTAAGGAATGCATCAGCCATCTCCCGTGCCAACTCTTGCTCTTCTTCGCCCGCAGCTTCGCGCATTTCCTCGGCCATTTGCTGTCTTCGCTGCTTTTTGGTTTCTTCGGTGTAAGCATTGTGTTCAGTCTCAAGAATTAGAATATTAGATGTTTCAGGATGGACGACAAACTGTCGGGGAGTGTATTCCAAGGGAAATGAAACCTGGTTGAATACGGCGCCCAGTTTTTCCAGCGCAAGAATACGCAGTGTGTTCGTTGAAGTACGCGACAATTCCTAAACACAAATAAAATATTTAAAAAATTATCTCATTAGAATAATTCTAAGCTAAACTACATTTGAGGTAATATGACTTGATTCACTCAATACGTCACTGAAACGTAAGGAGGGCGACAAATAAGTATAATCTTACTTTGATATTAAAACTGCTTGCGCCTATGAAGAGCGACGAAGCAGATTTATCTATGCGTATATAAAAAGTTATAACAAAAAAAAACTAGAATTCCTAGCGCAACGAGTGCAAGTGCGTATACACACAACTATCAATATAACTCGCGTTACGGAACTTTCTCGCAATAAATTTCAATACAGAGAGATACAGAACTAATATGTTAATATGTATCTACATAGAAATGGGATTTTAAAATTAAAGAGAAGGTTGAAAAATGCGATTAAAAGTGCTAAAAAGTGACATTTATCAATTTTTGCCCATTTTCTTCAATCGCGAATATCTAGTAAACTAAAAGAGATAGAAAGGGCAAATTGCAGATTCTTAATCTACGGAAAATTCTCTATAAAATAGGCTAGTTTAAATTGAAATCTAAGAGATGAAATTTTAATTCCCTAGAAAAAAAGGGCAAGGCAATTTTATCGTCGATTTTCAATAACAAATATCTCCCAAACTAAAAGAGATAGCAACCAGAAAATTGTTGATAACGGAAGATTGAAAAATTCTCTATCAGATGGTTATTTAATATAATTTAATTTCTTGAGGAAAAACATCCATCGTGGAATTTTCGATAGGAGTCGTGAGAAATTTGTTTGAAGCTACGAGATACCTGCACGAAATTGGCCACAATCCACGTATAGTACATGCCGTAGCCGAGCAAGCAACGACCCGACAGCTTAGAATAATAAAGTAAGAAGCGCAAAGCCGGCGCGTCGATGGCAGGCGGCGACTGCCCGCGACCTTGTTCGCGAATTGCAATAGGCACAATACCCGCGATTTAAACTAATCTACAACAAGCAACAGAGCGAGACGTGAAAGGATGGCAACGACAACACACGGTAATCTTGGACGTTGCTATTCGCACAGCGATAAGGTGTAAATTGTGTTAAAAAAAAAACACAATTCTCTTGTCGAATGTTCACATTTGCTGATAAATATATTTATATGAATAAAACAATTGTATTTTATGATTTTTAGTTCATGCTATTGCCATTTATAAATGATACCGATGCTAGTCCCACAATTTAGATTAGGTATTGAATTTAATGATAAACTAATATTGGATTCACGTAATTCAAAATTCTTATGCTGAAAGATTACCCACTTTCACATCTAATATTTAAGTGATATATAAATTTTACGAAGATAAGACGTTGAGAATTGTATTTTAGTGAATCTTATTTAAAGAAAACTTCAACCACATTGCAGAAAAACAATAACACTAAATAACATGACAACTAAACTGAAATCTAGGTACACGGAAAACAGTTTTTATAAATAATGGAATTATTTTACTTACCAGTTATAGAAGACGGTGAATCGACGGCAAGTTGGTAGAAACTGAAATAAATTAGAAACAAAACATTAATTACATTATTTTTAACCATAATGAAATGAATTTGAGTCCCGTCGGAACGCAAACTTGTATGTAATAATGATAAGAATGACAATATTTACCTGATAGCGCATTAGTTCATGCTCCTCTGTTTATGGCAAAAATGTTTTTCACAAATCAATTAATTCTTGGCGTTCACAAAATGTCCCCGGCCGTCGCCCGACGGCAACAACCTCACAAACAAACTCGCGAATACACAAACACGCCAAATTTAGTATTACGAAAATTACCACGCGATAAACAACTAGTTGAAGACCAAACACGCCTATTAACACTAATTATCACCGGAGATCAACCAGATATAACGCGATTTACCGAACTTGCAACAATGAATAACACAAACTGAAAGTATGGAATATGGGCTCATCGTTATCGCACCGATGCAACAAAACAAAATTCACTCGCTGGAATATTTTTAGTAAAACAAACATCGTCGCGCCATCTGAGGAATCTTTGTAGTACCACAAAAAGTATAGAGTGTCTCAAGAAGTGTAGCGTTTGTCGTGTTGTATTACACTTTTAAGTCAATATATTTAAAAATGTCTGAAAATGTGTGTATTTATGTGGACGTAAGATGTTAATGATGTTAAATGTTATTACAAAACAGAAATACCTTCATTATGAATTCAATCTAAAATACTGATAAAAACGATTTCGGTGCAATTTTTCCAAATATGGTGGCAAAAATTGCCAAGTCAAATTCACAAAGTTGAAAATCGGAAAGAGTATAACGAAATATAGGAAACTACCCTTTATGATAACCATTGGAAAACAATTAACTGCTTACTTATTTCATTATTGATGAATTAATTGATGTTTCGGCTTTACACGTGTCGCACGTGTTTAAAATCAATATGAGGAAGCAATAATTGCATGTTTTTAAGTTGTAACATGAATTTGGAGTATCTGGGCTAATAGGGCACCTATTCTTTCTATATAGAGCATTATACAGGTGGTCCAAACATGAAAATCGCTCCACAAACGCAATTTAGGACCGTTCATCCACAATAATCATTTACAAAAGATATAAAATTCAAATGAGAAGTTGACCTTACTATTTATCACGGTTCGCTGTATCAACAAGACATAAAAATAAGCACGAGATTGATTGCGAAAGGCTTGGTCTATTATGTATTTTCACTTTCAGTAGAATTCGATCCAAGTTGATCTGACTTACAACAGCAACTTAACCTCTGAATTTTGCGTAGTTTTTCACATAACACATCAGAACAACTAGTAAACACAAGATGCGAAAATAAATTATAGTGCGCAATAAGAGTCTGTTCGAACTTGCATTCAAACGCAACAGACTAATACAATTGTCTGTGGAGATCAGTGCTGTTGACAGAGTGAAAATGGCTCTTAATGGGTTGCTAAGTTCCTTGATTCGCTGCAGCACTGGAAATTACAGTAGCTGCAGCAGTGCCACCAGTGTAGTCCTATTTCAGAGATGCTCTAGTCATAGGTAATATATTCTTAATATTAATTATAATTTTACTTATAAAAATTTAAGCTGTATTATTTAAGTTAAGGATAATGGCATCCACTACCAGGGATGCCCAGTATTTGAAAAGAACAATAATGATATATAATTATTTATTGAAGTCTATCATAATATGTGTGGCATTATTTCAATATGTTAATATATTTCTGTTTTCTGTGTGTGCAGTTTAAGAATAGCTTATTATTCAACCAAAAATGAAAAGAAAGTGGAGATTACCAACTACATGCTGCAGAGATACTCAAACTACATTAGAAACTTTGAAAGTTTACTTGCGAAAAGATTTCCAAAAGCCATGACTGTTTATAGAGGGTTCATGGATGGAGTGTCCTTTTTCTATCAGGATGTAAAGCAGTTCATGAAAATCTTACCTAAAGTTAATGTACCTGGCAAGAGTTTGCACAAATTAACCAGACACGAATTAGAAATTTATGAAAGAGTACCTAGAGAAATGGTTAAATTGGCACCTGTATTGATTGGTTCTGCACTCCCGGCCGGCTATATGGTGCTCATGCCATTGGCGTATCTATTTCCGAAGCAGTTAATGACTGAACACTTTTGGACGCCAGAGCAGAAGAAACGCTTTGGAGACGAAAAAATGATCAATCGACTGAAACACAGCAATGCAATCATAAAACTGTTGACGGCGCCGAATGTGTGCATACAGAGTCAGATCGTGGATGCAAAACTGTGGTTGTTGCTACAAGCCGAGATGAAAACGAAGCAGATTATTCTTCCGCATAAATATATTGGTTGTATTGATATGTTTAAGGGTATTCCATTTCATTTGGATAAAATGTCTAGATTGCATTTGGTGAGACCCGCATTGAGCGATTATGATTTTAGGTTTAAGAGTTTATTTGATTCTATGTGTGTTTTTAGATGCACTTAGCAAAACTCCACGACGTCAACACATTCTGGCGCACCAAACGAAAACTGAGACACAAAGCGCAGTTAATTCTAGCGATGGATCGTGCCATAATCAAAGAAGGTGGCATTAAAAACTTGACCGCTGAACAAATGCGCAAAGTCTGTCATCTTAGAGGTACACTATATTAACTTGGCTGTAAATTCATGAAAAATTATTCTTTTCGATGTTTGTAGGTTTAAACGCTGAAGATCTCGACGTAGACACAATGATGAAGTGGTTAAATAAATGGATGCACATCTCAGTTTCAGCTGATGAAAATGCCCTCTCGTTTCTATTGCATGCGTCCGCGGTGTTAGGATACAACGCTCCTGCGAATCGCAGACTCTTGAAATCGGAAAAGTCAGCGTTGAGTAAGCTGCGGTTGAACAGTAGAGCCGCCTTGAAGCGTATGACACATTAAACCAATTTCAGAGAGGTGGTTGAGCAGAAGAAGAAGAAAACGTCACTAGCTAATTTAATGATAACAATTATTGATAACAATGTGAAAGTTGTGCCTACACCAAAGATGAGGACAGTTTTGTTTGTTAATTGTTACAACAAACCGGTTTGTTTATTTCAAGCAAGAAATATATTTATTTGAAAAATTATTTCAGGGCGGACAAATAGTTGTGTTCTTGCCTTGTCCTTTCCTTCATCGCCAGTGTCTTAGTTTTGCATCCTACTGCTATGCATTATGCCCAATTATCTTCAAGTAGTACATGTGCTCAATTTTAGTTCTTTTTAGTGATCCCTCCACATCCAGTATAACAAATATTAATTGAAAATAACTTTATTTTAAACCAATATATATTTAAAAATATAATAAGTCCTTATTCATCAAGCAATAATAAGTAAATCAATAGATATTTGTAAATTTCATCAAAGCGCGCGTAACCAGCAGCAAAAAATCAAAGATCACAGCGAAATGAACGAAGGCAACGCGCCAAGTTTCGGCCGATCGAAAATACTACCAACCTCTTCGATTTCCTCCGAATCTTCAACATTTTTCCCCACGTTACTTACACCATTAGCAACACCTGATGGGCATTCATAATATCGCTTATTATCGACGTTATCTTGTTTATTCTCCGTTTTAACATCCGCAGAAACTTTATTCACCGGCTGCGCTTTGCTTTTTCTCTGCACCTTTGATTTTCTGTTTCTGGCGATAACGTTCAGCAACGTGTCTTTGTATTGTCTTACCGCCTTGCCGTGTGGATACCTACACAACTTCTTGCTGCATTTCCCATCGCGCTCGAAGTCCGGACACAAAAATTGATGTCGTTTATCACACTATAGACATAATGAAAGCAATAAATTGACAAAACTTAAAAATACACTAATATATACCTCGCGTGCTTTCGCACAATAACCATTGATGAAGTCCCGACACACTGGCGCATTCCTACTCAACTTGACATGTAAATACGGGCAGTTATCCTTGTGGCAAATCCCTTCCAAGTAGAATTTACAAGTTGGCATCTTTTCAGGCGATGCTTTATGCGATAACGTGCATTTGTCATCTCGGCAAATCCCTTGCAAAAACCTAAAACGGAGTTTTAAGTTTACACAAATAAAATAAAATGAAATGAACCAATAATTTTACCAGACACAAATTTGTATTTGATTTGGATCATGTTTCTTTGAACATTTTCCATTTGCCAGGCCTTTGCAGGTTCCTCTTTTGTTGTAAATTTCACAAGGAATATTATTCTTCTGTAACTTCCTCTTGTTGATTTTTCTAGAACAATTTATCAAACATTTTCAGACCTTTAAATCCATAGTAAACGTAAAAATATAACTTACACCAAATTGCGTTTGGTAAACTTCTTTTTTCGAACTAACATCGGCGTTTTCTTCAATTTGTCACTTGAATTATTTGTACTTTGTGACAACTTACCACTCCTAATCAATTTAAACTTAGTATTTTTAATAATGCTGTTCTGTGGATCTAATCTCATCATATAAGCCTTTTTGGTCAACTTATATCTAGATCTGATGATTGTACAAGATTGTTTCCTTGTCCTATTATCGAGTTTGAATTTGTTTGGAGAATTCAACATTGATACTGATAACTTTCTCAATTGCTGTCTCATTCTTGGACTCTTTGGCAACTGATTGCTACTTCTCACAAGTTTATATTTAGTTTTTACAATATTGGATTTTTGTACCAGGTTGTTTCGAATTAACTTGTGCCTACTAATGATTTGCTTTGGTTTGTAACTCTTTTCACTCATAACTCTTTGAGATATTGTTGAATTTATTTTTGATTTAGTAGCAACTCTGACCAGTTTAGTTTTAGTTTTAATGATTGGAGCCTTAATTAAGTTATTAACTGAATAAGTTTTCTTCACCATAGATAAATTACTGTTGACTTTTGAATATTTTGTATACATTGTGCTGGATGTGGTTGTGGTGGTTGGAATTGTACTTGATGCAGTTTTAGGAGGCTGCATGGCAACACCAACTTTATTAAACACATTTGGGTTGACAAAGACGGTCTTGGGTTTAGAAAAATTCGGATTAACATGAACTTGTCTGCTGAAGTTTGGATTCACTAGAACTGTGTTACTGACAGGCGGCTGCATAAAATTCTTGTTCACATAAATTCGGTTTGTTTGTTGTGCAATTGGAGGCGCATATGCTGCCATTGGGTAATAATATTGGTTAGCTACAAAAGTTTAGATTGTTTCGAATACATTTATAGAATATAATTTGTCTTAAAAACTTACGGATATATTGTTTGTTGGAGTAGTTGCTGTATTCTGGATGCATCGCGATAATATCACAGTGTTCGTTTGATTTTCCAATACAACGCAATTTATAACATTTTACTGTCATGTTCAGCTGCGAATCAGTTATTTAACCTTCACAATGTTTCCCAACCGCAATCCCCTAGAATTATTAACGAACTAAAATTTATTTATTTCCGAATAATACGAGCTTTTTTTGTAATATTTCAATATGATAAATTAAAGTTATGGTTTAATAATAAATAGTTGTAATAATATTTAAGATAAATGATATTCTTTTGTAAGTAATATTTAAATTCTGGTTACATTTTTTGCTTCCACTATTCACCTAGCGGGCAACAAGTGATCGACAGTGCAGCCAATAACGGATATGCGCAGAAGCGTTGCGCAGTAAACATTTTGTGGGGTCTTCCGGTGGACATAGTTCTTTTTCAACATCATCCAGCCATGGTAAGTCGTCTGTCGCGTTTTGCCTTAACATTTTCCTAAATAATCATTACAATACGTACCGGGTAGAAGAACGTTCAGTGAAATTTAAACAATCAATAATTTGTGAAGTGATTTTTGCACTCATTGATTATATTACTAGTATTCGATTGAATTAAAATGGGAAAAGCGTTCGACATGCCTTACATACCCTAACCTCACACGCATGTTTATCATAACGTTTCATAAGTTAATTTGGTTTTATTTTAGCCCTTCAGTAGGTTTGTTGAGACAGGCCGCGTGGCTCTGATCGCCGACGGCGATTACAAGGGAAAATTGATCAGTATCGTCGATGTTATTGATCAAACTAGGGTAAGTTTACTTTTAAATAAATTTTATCTAGTGTTAGCAACAGCTGCACACTTTCTTCAGAACTTTTTATGATGATACTATTTGATAGGAATTGCCGTCTGATACATAAATGAAGCTACTTTAATTTTTATCTGATTATGCTTAAATACCCTTTGTTTTTTGAGTTTATATAAATGATTGTGCTCAATAGTGGTTATTTATTTTTGCAGGTATTAGTTGATGGACCATTGACGGAGGTTCCACGTATCCCAATCAGAATCAACCAGTTGCATTTGACTAAATTGAGCGTCAAATATCCGTTCTCAGCCCCAAAACGCGTTGTACGCAAGGCATGGTCTGATGCAAAGGTCTTAGAAAAATGGGACCAGTCCATGTGGGCAAAGAAATTGGCCTCCAAGGAAAAGGTAACAATGAAAACATATAATTCATTTAAACTAATTCTCAGAGACAAATAAAGTGATGATACATTTTGATAGGAATTGCCGTCTGATACATAAATGAAGCTATTAAAACCTAACTGATACTTCAAATAATTAACTAGATGTATATTGAATGTATTGAATTCATTTTAATATTATGTTAATTTACTCTTCCAGAGGCAAGCGATGTCTGATTACGATCGCTTCAAACTGCGCAAGGCCAAGTCCAGGAGGAACCGTATCCGCACCGTCGTCTTCCACAACTTGAGGTCGACCGGAGCGCGTAACGGATCACTCTTCGGCAAGAAGACGAAGGGTGGCGACAAACCCAAGCCGAAAAAGGGTGCCGCCAAGGCCGCGCCGGCCAAGAAAGTAGAACCTAAGAAGGCTAAGAAATAAACAGGTGCGCCTGAATTTAATAATAAAAAATATTAAATACATTTTTGATAAGGTCATTTACTTTATATTCTTTGAAACACCTTAAGATAAGTCACTTCAGTAAGATTTAACCATGAAAATGGTTAATACCGGCTACACAAAAAAATTACTTCTAATATAGACAGGAATGTATTTTAAGTGCGCGAATCAAAAAACTGGCCCCAAATAACTTAAAATTTATATATGTAGTACGACGAAGATGCGCGACATTTATAACTAATTTATATCAATCTTATGTACACGAGTATACATAACATTCAATTAGCTGCGCGTACTTCAAAGTTTTGTTCAGCTTATGATTACTTTAAATAGTCTATCAATGTAAAATTGCATCTTTATCACAAATTGTTTGTAAATTCTGGGAATGTTCTGTATGTTTGTCGTCGAACGCAGAGATTTGAAGTATAGAGATCAATTCACCAACCAAGAGAACGAGCGTGAGCGCAAACAATTGAAAACAGTTCGCAATGACTAGTGTTGGAAGCATACGAACAAAAAAAAAATATACACGACTAGATCCAACAATTCTACATTTTACCATGACTAGAGAGTGTAAGTACGGTGGGCTCGTCTTTCAGGAATGTACTAGAACGTACCATACCGGGAGATTTTTGCGGCGACTTCGTCTCAGCTTGCACGACCTTCTTAGTAGTCGTGGACACAACTTGTTTGCGTTTTACGCCGATCTTCTCATTTGATTTTGATATCTCCGTGTGTTTTTTGGAAGCTGTAGGTGTCGCAGGTTTACGCGTAGCTGCGCTATTCACAGGTCTCCGGGGCGTGTCTTTTTTAACAACGGGTTCCTTGTTTGCTGATTTAGAAGATGCGCTTTTGCGTAAGTTCGACGGAGCTGAGATAGGACGTGGTTGTGTAAGACTTTGCGGTTGTTGCTTCGGATTGGATGGTTTGTTGTGTCTGGGCGGCGCGCTCTTCGCAGCACTTGCGGCTGTCGGCATAGTAAGGGTGCTTATACGACGTGTGGCCGAAGGACTTGGCGGGACTTGTGGAGCTCGCGCTGCTAGTAATAAACTACGTCGTAAGGAGGGGCTGGTGTGGCTCTGGGAGGTCGCAGGGCTGGAATTTCGCGACGATTCTGATGAACTGGTTACTGTTTTAGAGCTTATCATGCGCGGAAGCCGGCTAGGAATATCAGTTTTGGTATTTTTCACCAGGGACTCGGACATTTTCGCAAGAGATTTAATATGTGCGCGAAGCTCAGGCTCCATGCGCAACCAACGCTGGCACTTTCCTAATTTGTGCGATTTCAGGACGATGCGACGCTCGATGTGCTCCTTTAATTTCACTAACATTTCGTGCAATGTTACATTAGCACTATCTTTGGTTTTAACCAACATGTGAGAGCATCTAAACAAAAACCATTAGGCATTTATTAAAAATAAAGTGTTGATGCGTTAACTGAGATAATTACCTGGAATAAACACCGCAATCTTGATCCAACGTCAATCCAGATGAAGCGTTGAGTAAGATTTCCTCAATTCGCGGATAGTTCCAAGGTTCTGCATCCATCAACGTCGGCAGCACGGCGGTGAAGTGCTGCGTTACATATGTCTGACAGGTTTGTGATAATTGTAGCGCTAATTGAACAACCGGTTCGGCCCACTTTAAATTGGGCAGAGAAGCCAGTAATCGGTCGCAGGACAAACTAGTGGCGAGGACGGTAGCAGCGCTCATGTGAACCACATGCTGTTGAACGCATTTTTCGCGCAATTCGCGCTGCAACGACGCGAACGCCCTGCTGGGCCATATACGTAGATAATGTGTTGTTATCCACTTCAAACATTTTTGATACAGCTCATCTAATCCATACGCAGACGATAATGGCAAAACCTATCAAACATTATATAATATATTGTTCGTTCGGTTATATAATGATAAAATAAAAATAGTATACCTCCAAAACCCCTGTAAGACATCCGGCACATGGCGAATGAAAGTTGTGACAATGCCGCGATTTCAAAGCATGCGAAACAACCTCCTTCAATCCTTCCAGGCTTAACAAATCAGCTAAACTTGCCAACTCCACCAGACTAATGGAGTCCGGTACATGCGATGCGCCGCTATAGATGTGACACAGCGCAAAATGCACAGCATCATATGAAAAACCGTCCAATTCAATCGATCGCCCTCGAAGAGTCCCAGCAAAGTACTGACATCGTGATATCAGAATGCAACGATGCGCTTTAATGCTGCGGTTGCCCACATGCACGTGGGTATCAGTGTCCATTTCTTCCAGGAACATACGCAGCAGGTCCGTACCAAGGCGGCGTTGAGACGGCCCAGTTTGGGATCCTAAACGGAGTTTTAATAACAATGGGCGTTAATTACGATAATTAATGAAAGACACACAAAATGGAAAGAAAGCAGAAAAAAGTTAGATTATTTGCTTTCAATGGCGTGCGATTTAGTTAACGCGGAACTTTGCGACTTTGTGGGTGACCTCGATTTGATTCTTTTCAAAGTATCTCTCAGTTAGCGTAGACGCGAGAAATCTATCAGACAGATTAAGCCGAGAAGTAAAATCAAGCATCTTTCACTAATGTGCTACTTAAAAGTACATCAAATAACTTAAAGAGATTTACTCAATTATGTAGCAATTACAGAAGTTTGAATATTCGGTTATGTTTATATTAGAATAACGGTAAAATTTTCATTTTCCGTGCATTTTTTTAAAATTTTGTTTCGAACAAAACATAAAATATATCAGTGCACACAAATTGAAACATAATAATTGTTTAAATATGTATTCACTTCACACCTGGGTTACATCGTTTTTGTTTGAGGCATTAGAAGGTCAACTCTTAGTCATTGAGCAGATTTTTTTCGTACGCAAATTTGTCGATACCGAGTAAACATACGGGTTTACACTTTTATCCAAATACAGTAATGTTACCGCCGTCATTTGCATACGTGAATCACCTGTGGTGGTTTTGCGCTTATTTCACCAAATGTATTTGAAAACAGACTTGAAACAATAGTTTTAAATGCATAAACTCACCTGTACTATCTGAGAGACTAGAAGTATCAGGTTCCATTGGCCTTGGCGCAATGCGAAACCCCGCAGATCGCGACATTAGCAGCGGACTCTCCACCCAGGAACTCTCAGGAATTGAGCGACTCATCCTTGGACACACAACGTCGTTGCAAACGTCGCTATCCAATCGCGCAGGCTGACACATTAAGTCGGACAACCTCACAAACTATGTAAACATTTAGATGTTTAGACAATTGCCATAGAAGTTAATACAAATTCTTTACTTTGGTGTCCGATTGCAACTCGGGCGATTTCTCGGTGATATCGATCCTCGTTTCGCTAGATGCGTCCGTTATGAACGACACAGCTTCCATTTCGGAGCTGTTATCGTCGTCAACGCACTCCAAGGTGAATTGTACGGCCGGAACACGATCCGGTGATCGAATTTGATCGTATTTAGCTGTAGTGTCATCGGCGTTTTTCGGAGATGTCACCTCAACTTTAGTTTTACTTGCGGCTTGTTGCTGAGGTGACACCACTGCTGATTTTGTAGCTTTGTCACCTTTTGATCCATTTGATTTTCGCCGGGCGGTGTTTCTAAACAAATGTGATGGCATATCCTTCTTGGGTGCTTCAAAATCAATAACCATAGAGAAAATGTTTTTTGTTGCTGATGCATTAGAGGCCACCTCTTGTGCTGGCTCATCTTCAACATCATTGAGATCTACATAGAACCCTAGACAACATTTTCATTATTTAGTCTCCTATTCTTAATTTAAAAATATTATTATTTACCTAGTGATGGTTTATTAGTGTTTTCCTCTTCAATGACTGCATCAGCATCAACCTCAATCCCATCTGACATATCAGATACACAAACAGAAGTAAGCTGTGCCCCATTCAGGTGTACAATAGAGTTGTAGGGTGTCTCCGGTGGAGTGTCATCGGATGGTCCAGCTAACTGAAGCATTGTGCTGTATTGATGGATGCCCGTTTGAAGAGAAGAGCGCCTTGGCGGCGCTCCTCGGTGCGACGCTGCTCCAGCTCGCAGCGCGGCGAAGACGACGCCGACGTGGTGGTCACCTCATCGTCCTGCAGCAGCGCGGCGTCGATGAAGCAGTTCTGGGCGCCGTTCACCAGCTGCTCATTACGGCGTTGCTTTTGCTCCTTGGTGCGCGTCCGCCGTTGCTCCTCGTCGCTGCCGAGCCCCGAGTCCATTTCATTTGTATACATGTACGGCACGCACTCGCTGCTGGCCGCGCCAACATTGAACATCTAACGCATTTAACTTGCGGCCGCCGTGCAAAGAGAGTCGCGTGTTTATTCAATAACAAAGAGAGTATGAACGAGAGTAGAAGCAAGCACGACACCTGTACGCACTCACCGCGGACGGCTATCTAATTTTATTTGATTATTGTATAATGACGTTCCACACCAACACAAACTAAAAGACTGAGTAGGGATGCGATATCGCAGGTTAGGAAGTTTTATGTATTTCCTGCGGGATTGGCTAGAATGTTTATTATGCAGTGCCATCTAATGGTGATTCATTTATAACCAATAAGTAAACGTTCTTTGCAACGTTTTTTGTAATACAAACTTTAAAAACTTAACAATGAATCGAACTTGTGTGGTTTGCAAAGCGATTGACGCTAATTACAAATGCCCAAATTGCTTAGTTCATTAGTAAGTTGACTCTTTAAACTAATACAACAAAGAACTATGATACAAAAAATATACTAGCTGTTCGGTATCATGCTGCAATCAACACAAAATGGATAAATGTGTGAAAAGTGGTCAAGAAAAATAGAATCACTGTGATTGTCTTAAATCTCAAGAGTCCTCCAATACGTCACTGAAACGTAGCGGAGGCGACAAGTAGAATTATAATCTTGCACAGTATTAAAACTGCTTGCCTATGAAGAGCGACAAGCAGGTGTTATCCTATGCGTATATAAAAAAAAAGTAGAAAAATGTACTATAATTATTACCTTCTGGACATTGTTCAGAGCTAAAACCAGAGGCATATTCCAGACTTTCGTATGACAACGGCGTGAGATAAAAGCGACTCTGATAATAATAACTTAACCATGATCTGCTTGTCATCGCTAATACTGCCTCGGAGTTTTGCATACGAATCCTGAACAACTTTACCGGCCGTAAGCCCAAGTATCGTGTTCTAGTATCAGTCAAATTTCCCGATACCGGATCCAGAACAGCCCTCAATAACGCTCCGTTTTGTAGACCAATGTTTAAATATAATGAAGTCGTCGTACTCGCAGAAGCCGCATCTTCCTGATCTCGTTCAGCGCATCCCATTTCTACGATGCATAAGCTCTCAGCGCAAACAGGCAGAACTTGCATTGATCTCGACGATAAACAATCGCTGGGATCGAGTGATATAATTCGCACTGTATTGTCAGCTAGACCGATGGCTAGGAACCATGAGCGCTGTTCACCAGCTGGTACATTGGGAAGTGCCATACAGACCACATCGGAACTCATCCGTTGTGTCTTTTCGTAATCATGCAGTTTACCGTCTTTATTCATTTCAAAGTAAACGAGTTCTCCGCCGGTAAGTGCGATGACAACCTGGCGTTGGTTGACGGCACAGCGAACGATGTGTGTTTTTCCCGGGGCTTTCCAATCTCGCACTCGTCCTGATGCCCAAATGTGTCGAATACCTTCGGGGAAAATTTGTACCAAACCATTATCAGCAAATGACGCGCAGCAGAGCGTTGGAGTAGTGCCGAGAAAACCACTGTCAGTTACTTCCTCGACGGTTTCACCAATGGAAAGCACCAAGGTAGCATTGACGAAGGACACGATAATGTAGGCATCGTATTTATCTGTAACAAACAGTATAAATGTTAAAATATTGATGTAGATATACTAAAATGATGAAACATTTTGTTGGAACAATCAGTGGTGTTAAATGTTATAATCAACGACAAATTCAGTTGAAACACGGACTTAGGGTTCATCATTATACTGCCAAATCTAATAATATTAACAAAAATAAAGTAAATATCTATGCTTACCATCAGATTTTTTCTTGACAGTCCACACAGCATCAGGATTACCGGGAAGTTCGGAAACAGCCATCTCCGAAACCTCCAACCCATGCCGCAGTACTCTCATAGAGCTTCTCGGACCTCTTCCGCAAGCCATGTAAAACTGAGGCGTGTCTTCGCCAGCAAGATCGGCGACTTTTGCGGACAGAATTGGCGATAACGACTCCAGTTCATCAACGAGTACCAAGTTTCGAAGTGAGCGTGGGGCAAAGAAGAAGGTGTCACCCTCTTCCAATGGCATCTCAGAGCTGAATTCCAGTTCATCATCATCGTCACCCAAATGAGCAATTTGATATAGATAACTAAACAATAAAATTAGATTTTAAAACAGAAATTGTGGAGAATTTATTATATAATTTGTCGCGTGCGATGCCAGAAATGTGCTTATAAGAAAGCAATTTCAACGATGATATGCACTCGTTACTCTAGCACCGATTCGACCTGAATCCATCTTAAATACCGGATGCAGGAGATACCATAGTGCCACATTTAAACAAACAAATAAATTAATTAATAAACTTACTGGTTGCCAAATTCGCACGCGACAAAGAGGAATCCAGTCTTCAGAACGCACATCGCCGTTGCCACCGGTACAGTGTCAAAATACTTGAGCTTGATTGCTGTGACGACTTCCCCAACAGTATCTAAGGTAATCTTGAATATATCTCCCTGTTCAGTTTGTGCCAGAAAGAAAAACATCGATTTTGTTTTGTGGGTGGCTGAGCAAACAAAAATCATTCCTCGTTCGGGATCATCTAGATCATTTCTCCTTCTTGGAATTGGACAACGAATGTCCATTTGGTCTCCCAGGTTCTTATAAGTCAGATAATTTTCAGAACAAATAAGAACTCCAGAAGGACCATCTCGCCCCCCAGGCACAGATACCAAAAAATTAGCGTGCTCTTCAAGAGGTTCAGAATATTTTCGCACGACGTGATTCAAACCCAAATCCAATTCATAAAAAGTCAGCGTCTGTTGAGTTTTCTGTGCGGCTTCGCCGGTAGGATCAGCATCGGCATCCTCGTAATCAATTTCAAGGCATGCGAACATAGGATTGCTGTAGTCGACATCAACGGCGACCATGTGATAGACCAGAGTGTTGCTTTTGTGGGCTTCCAGTGGGGATGAAATCGTCAGCTTTACTTCCGGACTCCGATGGAAAATAAAGACAAGCTTTTGTTTCTCAATCGCAGCAATCATGCCAGCGCGACCTTTTGGATCCACAGCCAAATATTGGCCGGGTACAATACGACGGCAGCCAGATTTGCCAAACGTTTCTTGGTGTACTTTTTCAAATATATTCTTCACTGGCATATATTCGAGAACGACCAGGCGGCCGGAGTCCGAGCCGACGATAATGTAATCTTTCGTGCCACCGGTGAGCCTAAACGCGACGAGAGATCTTATAATACCGAAAATTTCAACGCTGAGTAATGTGTGTACTTTGCCTGTGTTCGGATCTGGCCGGAGCAATTCAATACACTTGCCCCGAGAGATCACAATCTCCTGTAGTTTATCACCGGAGAAGTTGCCATGGATGGCGTGTGTAATCGCCGTTGCTTTTTGCAACGTTAGATTGTACAAAAACATCCTGAACAAGAAAATAGTTGTTAGTAAATTTATGTAAATGAAACACATTCAAAACGCAAGTAAGCGTTTGTAAAAGCATAACCTTCAAGCCGGTTTTCACCGATATTTCGGAAGATAACACGTGGCAAACAAAAATATTACTGTAATTAGGACACAGACATATAAATAATAATGAAAATGCATACCTGAACGAAGGATTGCTTTTTTATCAGTAGAAAAACCAGGATTTTAATCAAGCAAACGCTTTCAAACGTCCATCTTCATATAGATACCGCGGCGGCGATGCGGCAGGTCAGGAAACCTTCGCTTGTTTTGAACAGAAAATTACTACACTGCCGCTGGCGCCGGCGAAACTGCCAACAACCAAATTCAAATGAATTTCGATATCGAACATTACTTAGCAAACTTTTTACCGACACGAGCTCAAGCAAACATGTTAACACAGCGGTGAGCAAGTTAGGAAAAGGAAATTTTCTTGCTTGCTGCGTAGTTTTATCTGGTGACATCGGCTCCGACCTAGTGGGGAGCCATTGTGACCTAAAAATAGATAATTTCGGGTAACATCGGTAATGTGTCAAACCAAATAACAAAACAACTAATAACTAAAATATAGTTTTCATTATAATTTAATAACAAATTATTGAAAGATATTTTCTTTTATCTGCATTTAATCATGTTTAATTACTATTTATGTTAAGTTGATAAGCACTCGGGTATGATCGTATTAATCTGCAGTGCTGCCACTCGTTGCAACTGCCATTTTCTTTTTCCTCAGCGTGTTTAACCCTCGTTGCGGACGCACGTGTTGGTCCGCGTTCCTTCGTTGATTTGCAGTTAATTATTGTTAGAATTAAAATTTTTGTGTAAAAATGGGACGACCAGGTGCGTAAACTTCTTTTTCAACGTTAGACATATAAACAATTGCATGTTATTGTTTACTTCATCAATTGTTTACAAATACTACTCTGATCGCATGGATAACCTAAAAAAAAGCAACGTGGTTTACGAACTTTTGTAAAGTTATGTTTTCTTTTCAGGCTTTTCTCCAGGAGGTCGTGGAGGCGGCCGCGGTAGGGGTGGTTTCGGCAGTCGTGGAGGTTTTGGAGGCGGAGGCGGTCGAGGAGGAGACCGTGGTGGCCGCGGTGGATTTGGGGGAGGTCGTGGTCGCGGAGGTGATCGTGGTGGAAGAGGTCGCGGTGGTGGCCGTGGCGGACGTGGAGGCGGTGGTGGCGGCTTCAAGGGAGGCAAAAATGTCGTCATTGAACCCCATCGCCACGAGGGTATTTTCATTGCCAGAGGCAAAGAAGATGCGCTAGTTACTCTAAATTTGGTACCTGGATCTGAAGTTTATGGAGAGAAACGTATTTCTGTTGAGGTAATATAAAAAAAAAAACTAAAGAAATCAACATAAAACTAAAAACAACATTTAAATTTTCTAGGAAGCAGGCAATAAAATCGAATACAGAGTCTGGAATCCCTTCCGTAGTAAACTTGCCGCCGCTGTATTAGGTGGAGTCGACAAGATTCACATGCCGCCTGGCAGCAAAGTCCTGTACCTTGGCGCCGCCTCCGGTACGACAGTTTCACACGTCTCAGATGTTGTCGGCCCCGAGGGTCTGGTTTACGCCGTTGAATTCTCGCATCGATCCGGACGCGACTTGATCAACGTCGCTAAGAAGCGTACAAACATCATCCCCATCATCGAGGACGCGCGTCACCCTCACAAATACCGTATGCTCATCGGTATGGTGGACACAGTCTTCGCCGACGTTGCCCAGCCCGACCAGGCGCGTATCGTCGCACTCAATTCACATTATTTCCTCAAAAACGGCGGCCATTTTGTTATCTCAATCAAAGCCTCATGCATTGATTCCACAGCGACGCCCGAAAGCGTCTTCGCCGCCGAGGTGAAGAAACTGCAAGCAGATAAATTAAAGCCACAGGAGCAGATCACGCTGGAACCTTACGAGAGGGATCACGCGGTGGTTGTCGGTGTATATCGACCACCCCCTAAAGAGTAACACATACGTTGAATTAAAGAGTTAATTCCACTATTAGTTTGTAAGTTAACAATATCGATACATTGCGAAAATGTATCGCAGCACGACGTTAAGAATGTGTATTTTTTATTATTAATGATGAATGATAAATTTATCAAGTTTATAAGAATTGAAATGATGAATTTATCGTGCTGGAAGCGAAATGATAACTTTATCATTGCATATGCAACAAGAAATAAATGACAAATTTATCAATTTTCAAACAAAATTTAATTGGTTATTTTAGTAATCATGAAACCATCATTATTGAACGTTTAGTGCGTTCGCGTTGCTTCCTCTTCTTTTCTCCTCGTTTTCTTTCCAGAGTCGCGTCCCTAAATAGACGCACACCTTCAGCAGCTTCGATTTCCCTCTGGAGGAACTGCATTCCATAATAATTGTAACCGACTGTGTCTTTTAACTCTTCGGTTTTCTGCGCGGCGAGTTTTGAATGTTTGTCAGTGTTGAGAGAAGCGCATGGTTGGCGACGATTGGTGCGTGGTGGATTTTCAATAGAAACATGACAACTCTCAGCACAAGTTCGAGGAAATCTCCACGTAAGATTAATGCTGGCAAGTACTGGATTAATTCGCAGACTGATGTGAAGGGAAGGATAAGCAATGCTTCTTCCATGTCACTGAAATTTAACAATAATAACGATGTGCCCTTTTTTACAAAGATTCTTGGCGAGAATTTTGCAATTAGGTGTTAAAAAGAAGCTTTTATAACCGCATTGATACTAAAATTTCTGTGTCGTAACTTTCTGCGTGAAATTAAATATTGCCTGGTAAAGGTATTGGTTTTCTAAAAAAAAAAAAAAAACTATTTTCTAAACTAACCTTGGTCGTATCCGCTTCAACGTCTCCAAAACAAAATCATCAATGGTCGAAGCACCAAACGCCAACATAATCAAAGGAACAGCCGGTGGAGGAAGAACTTGTGCTGTACCTGCCTGCAAAGCGGCATGTTCATCTAACACTTCCTTGTATTCTTTGGAAACGTCCAAACATTCCAGAATACTTTCAGCCTAACAATAAAATGGGTGAGAAAAAATAGCAAGTTGACAAAATAATAATTTTTGCTTACAGCTTTCTCGCTACCGATTGTTTTCTTTGATGGTAACGTTTTCCCAGGCTGGCCTGCAATAACAGACTGTTCACCTGTTGCTAAACCGTCTTGTGCTTCACGTTCTTCTTCCTCTTCATCTTGCAACACCAGCGGCTGATCTGTTTTTTCATACAAACGCAAAACACGATCTGCGCCACAAGAAACAACAAACTGTCCGTTTGGACTCACTGCCAAGTTCCATGCTTCGCCAACATGGCCCTAATATGTTAAATACACTTAATTAAATTGTAGAATACTATCGAATGTTTTATTTATGTTACCTGTAAAGTGATAACTTTAACGAAATTATCTCCATCCCATTGTTTGACTTTTCCATCTTTACCGCAAGTGAAAAAGTAATGCGTTCGATTAACAAATTGTAAGCCTGTGACGGAGTCGTCATGCGCGAATAAACTTTTATGGCAATCACCAAAGTCCATGCCCCAAATTTTAACATTTCTATCAGCTGAACCGGTGGCAATAAGCGTCGAATCCGACGAAATGTCCATGCACAGCACGGGCAACTTGTGGCCGTATAACGAGAGATAAAATTTGAATGTATCAACAAAGAATATCTTTACTGTGCTGTCGAGTAAAGCCACAGCTATGAATTTCTTATTCGAGGAAAGACGCACACAAAGCACGCTCTCTTCTAATTTCAGCGTTCGGGTATGCACCAAAGATAAAACCTTAGCTTTGGACTCTAACGCTTCATCGGCGACAAGTTCAAACTGCCAGAATTTCACAGTTTTATCTCCTCCGCCCGTTACAACTCCTCTCTGGATAAATAAACAAAAAATAAACGTTACTATAAGAGTAAACTTTTAAATCAAAGCGCCTCCATCACCATTACGGACATTTTGGAACTAATATTAATACTTGAACTTACCAAATCAGGCTGCAAACAAATCGACCATAATTCATTACTATGAGCTGGAATTTCTTCCAGAGTATCCCCAGCTGCAATATCAATGATCAACAATCTACCATCTTTCAGACCAGCAAGGACATGCCGATCTCCGGGCACAAACATTGTGCACAATACATAACCAGACCCAACAGTGCGCAAACTCATCTGCGACGGGCGATTCCACATTTTAATCGACTCAGAACTGCCGCTGACCACGGCCAAGTTATCGCTACTGAAATTAACAGCACGCACTTCGCCATGATGTCCATGCATAGTCACTGAGCGTAAACAGCGTGGTTCAACTTCTTTTCCAGATGTCTGCACACTGTATAACTCGATTGTGTTATTAGCCAATACTACGGTCACGCGCAACTCGCCTCCATTACCAAGCACAGTATGCAGAGACTTTGGTTTTGCGGATAATTTAATTGCAGGAAGACGCCTCACCTCATCACGGAGTGATAACGTTTGCACTTGTTCTTCAGCAGTTTCCATTGCTGCATCTGCATTCCTGTAAACATTTTTTATTTAGAAAACATCACAAGAAATAAAATTTATACCAAAAACTTACTTTTTCCTCTCCTTTTTAAGCCGCTTCTTCAATCGAATCTTCGCATCATCATCAGACAAGAACAGAAACAACTCGATCTGCATATCAGTGCCGTGGCAACCAATAACTTGACCAGTCACATCGGAAAACATAGACATAACACGACCCCTTCCGGATCTCAACAACGAACCAGCTTTGAACGATTGTAAAGCGTACGCGGCACTATCATCGCTCTCTTCAAACGACGCTAATTGTAAACTCTCTGTAATATCGTCAATATCAGCGGCATTCCGGTCATTAAGTTTCCATACTCTTAACTCGGCATCACTAGACGCGCTAATCAGATATCTATCATCTTTCATCAGCGAGATAGACCAAACTTCAGTCCTATGTGCAACCAAAGTTTTGAAACAATGTTGTGTATCCAAGTCCCAAAATTTAATAAATGTGTCTTTTGCAGATGAAATTAAATATGGGTGATTGGTCATAAATTGCACTTGCGTGACGGGTCCTTTGTGTCCGTTTAACCGACAAATGCCTGTTTCGGAAACCGTGTCCCATACAATGATATCAGTATCCTACAAAAACATTAAAATCAAAGTATTGAAAATTTAAACTTTAGTAACTTTTTAAAAATGATTACCTTTGATCCTGTAGCTAATTTATGTCCAAAACTATCATAACTCATACATGTAATCTCAGACCTGTGTCCAGAAAAGATGGTAACCACCTCAGCTGTCTTCAAATCAAATATTTGTACATTGCCATCACTGTAACCACCAGCAATATTTCTTTTGCTTGGACTGGCAGCGATGTAGGTAACGGGTGCTTTTTCACCCGATAAAACTTGTGCTTTCTCGCCGAGACGCAAATCCCAAACAACGATGTGCTCGCATGCGCCGGCGGCGACAAATCGGCCTTCTTGTCCTTCCAAAGCAACAAAGCATAAATTGCAATTCGGACTAGCGATTATGTTGAAATTGCCAGCGGGCACGTACCGAAGATATTGCTTTGTTAAACCCATTTCTGCGCGTTTCGTTAATTATTTATAACTATCATTTGTTTATTGTTATAGTTAAACACAAATTTGAGAGCATGTACAACCACACCACGTAAAAAGAAAGTACATAACCTGCGCGTCGTGTTATTGTAACCTTAGGCAACCACATGTACACTTGTACTAATACGCATTTATGCATTTTTTAAATACCTAAAATTGTTACAAACAACCAAATATAAATAAATAATACAACAGGAACGAATTAATTACATTGCATAGAGACGTAAAGTCTTATTAAATCGTTGTATGTGGTGTAAAACTACTTATATTCATAAATTTTGGTAAAAGAAAAATATATTGATGAAAGCCGGCTGTAATAAAATTATTAATAATTGATAGAATTCGAGGAAAATTCAATGATGAGTCCTGGGGCTGCAGGTATTGCGCATGCCCTTGCCCGCGCAGTGTCCTTTTGTCCCTTTGTGACCTTTGCACTGCACGAAGGACGATTCAAGCCGAGTCCACGAATCAAATTCGTATCAAGTGGGACAAAGTGCCGTGCGTTGTTCCGGCTCGACCCGCCGCATCCACCGAAATTAGGTTACCGAGGGCCCAAGTGCACAGGCAAAAGGGTCGGGGGAGGATGAACAGCTGTCCCTCGTCTACCCTACACAGGTTACGCAGCTAGCGCAACGAGCTTAACGGCCAATCACGGCATTCGAGCCCGTTTAACGGTTTTGACGTTATCTCGCACCATTTCCACCGTGAACACAGCAGTAATACATATTTGTTTACAAACTGAAATAGTTGATAAATAGATACACGGTGAATCATTCATGTTAACACGGCGTTGGGACATTGTAAATGATTGTGTGATGGTAGTGTGAACTGAAACCCAATAACTCGTGACTAAACCATTGATTGTCAATTGTTTTTCTGCAATGCTTGAATGCAATGCTGATAAAACCTATCTGAGGATGTAAATAATCTCGTTTCATGTGAGTGTTGGATGATATAAAGTTAGTGTTGATTGTTGTACTATTCGCAACGCTTGGACTTTAATGTTTCATAATTTATAAACATTAAATTGATGTGTGGATGATATTGTTATTGTGATTTTAGTTGTTGATGCACACTTACAACAATGACACGGCTACGTGAATTGGTGTTGGCCTACCGAACGCGACGTTCAAAGCGTTTACCTCAGCTGGATACAGTCTCATTTGATTCATTTTATAATGAGGGACCCACTGACCAATTTCCTATCACCAAAGAATCATCATTGAATGATCTCTCACCAAGTCATTCTGTAAGTTAACTATTTTCACAATTTATTGGGTAATTATTAACTAATTGTTAATATAATATTAAATATTTGTAGCCTGCTAGAGAATACGTGAAATTCTCGGCACAAAACTACAAAGCGCCGGCAAGCTGCACCCGTCCAAGCCTAGCCACAATCCTTTTGGGAATCGTCCTTGTGGCTGTCTTTGTCATCCTGCCGGCACTCTATTTGATTCACTGCTTCGGCCTCATCCGCAGTGATTATGACAACCGTATCCCGCACATCTTTGCCATCAAAGAAACTTACCACTATGCGCCCGGCGAGAAAGTCCACGAAGCTCTCGACGTCTACAGCAATGGCAAAACACGCGTTGTCGTTAAAGAATTACCGCTGCCGCCCAAACCCGACTATGCGCATTGTCCGCTTGACGATGCGAATAAATTCGACTGTTTTCCCGAAGGCGATGTTACGAAGGAGAAGTGTGAAGCGCGTGGATGTTGCTGGGTGCCACGCAACTCCAAGAAGCGCAATAAAAAGTTCAATACATTAAACATCAATACGCCGTACTGTTTCTTTCCGGATAATTATCGCACGTATAGTTTTGTTAATGTAACACTCACCGACTTCGGATTGGTTACGTTCATGAAGCGGGATTATCGCAGTGCATATCCGGATGATGTGGAAGTGATAAAGATGATTGTTAAGTATGAGACTGAGGATAGATTACACTTTAAGGTAAGTGAAACAATTCAACTGAAATGTTGAATTATAAAATTGTATTGTTTTAGATTGTTGATCCGTCTACAACTCGTTTCGAGCCACCATATCCCGATGTGCCGGTGGTCGATGGAGCTCCGTCGAACTTATCCTACGCGTTCGCCATTTCCAATTCGACTTTTGGCGGATTTCAAGTTATTCGAAAATCGGATAACACTGTAATGTAAGTTGTTCAATTGAAAAACTTGAATCGAAAACTTATTTTCTTCTTTTTTGACTTTCAGATTTGATACTATGAACATGCAAACATTGATCTACGCGGATCAACTTATCCAGTTTACTACGAAACTTTCTTCTGATAAAATATTCGGACTGGGCGAGCATCGATCGCCTTTTTTGCTCTCGACACACTGGACGAAATTTACATTGTGGAATCACGATAATATACCACTAGAAGATGTAAGTCTCTTAAAAAATATAAAAACTTATGTTTTATACTTTTTTCTTCTTTTTAGGCGAATTTATATGGTTCACATCCATTTTCCTGAACATAGAACCATCCGGCTGTTCTCATGGTGTCTTTTTGCTCAATAGTAACGCGATGGATGTAATTATCCAACCGACGCCTGCCGTTACCTATCGTACCATCGGTGGTATCTTAGATTTTTACATATTCCTCGGTCCGACACCCGCGAATGTCGTCCAGCAATACACTGAAATAATCGGCAAACCATTCATGCCTCCCTACTGGGGTCTTGGTTTCCATTTGTGTCGATTCGGCTACAAAACTCTCAATGACACAAAAGAAATACTCCAGAAGAATCTAGACGCTGGTATTCCAATAGACACACAGTGGAATGATTTGGACTACATGGCGAATCACAATGACTTTACCTATGATAAGAAAGCATATGCGGGATTGCCTGCGTTCGTAAAAGAATTACACTCGAAAGGAATGCATTACATTCCATTAGTGGATGCTGGAATATCCGCTAGAGAGAAATCCGGTACTTATCCACCGTATGACAAAGGATTTGACATGAAAATTTTCGTTACGAATTCATCGGGACTCCCAATGGTCGGCAAGGTAATTATTTGATCATAATTCTCAAAATTCCTAAAAAATAATTGTGAATCATTTTGTGCTTTTCCCTTGGATCTTAAATAAGCAAAAGGTTTGATATGAAAACCTTTAAATTAGTAGATTTTAATTTAAAATTCAATTTAGGTATGGAATTTGGGTACGACAGTATGGCCAGACTTCACGAATCCGTCCACGGTTGATTATTGGACATCTATGTTGGAAGACATGCATAAATCCTTCGAATTTGATGGTATCTGGTTGGATATGAATGAACCTAGTAATTTCATCGACGGTCAATACGGGGATTGTCCTCCATCTAGTTTGGAAACCCCGCCGTATCTTCCCGGAGTTAATGGTGGCAAATTAAACTATCATACCTTGTGCATGACAGCGAATCATTCTGTAGGATTGCATTATAATGTACATCAATTGTACGGGTTGACTGAGTCGATGGTAACCAACTTGTAAGTCGTAACTTTAATTTCGGTTTATGAAAAATGTATCAATTTGATAATATTTGTAGTGCTTTGGCTACGATTCGTGCTAAACGACCGTTTATAATTTCACGTTCGTCTTTCCCTGGTTTGGGTAAATACGCTGGACATTGGAGCGGAGATGTTGTCTCCGAATGGAAAGATATGAAGTTTTCAGTGCCACAATTACTCAGCTATAGTTTATTCGGTGTGCCAATGATGGGTGCTGATATTTGTGGTTTTAACGGCAATACAACTGAGGCTTTGTGCAATAGATGGTCACAGCTTGGCGCGTTTTATCCTTTTTCACGAAATCATAATACTGATGATGGAATTGTAAGTGCAAATCAACAATTTTATTCAATTTTATGATTTCTGTTGTCTCATTTTGCTTCAGCCACAAGATCCAGTTTCTCTTGGACCTGACGTAACCGCATCCGCAAAGAAAGCCCTGACTACTCGTTATTCTCTGCTGCCATATTTGTACACCCTCTTCTGGGCTGCGCATGTCAACGGTGACACCGTAGCACGTCCATTATTCTTCGAGTAAATATTTTATACACGCTAACAGACAATTTAATGATTTAAAACAATTTTTAGATATATTGGCGATACTAAAACATACGCCATTGACGACCAATTCCTTTGGGGTGCAGGATTAATGATCGTCCCAGTCTTATACGAAAACCGCATGTGGGTAAACCCGTATTTACCACGCGGTTACTGGTACGATTACTACTCACATCAAAGAATTGAATCAAACGGAACGCGATTCAATATTTCTGCTCCCCTGGATACCATCCCGTTGATTATTCGTGGTGGTTACATCCTGCCACAACAGGAACCATTGCAGACTACAACGCGTGCGCGTCAAACCAAATTAAAGTTGCTGGTTGCGCCTGATGATAGCATGAATGCAATGGGCAAGTTGTATTGGGATGACGGAGATTCACTAAGTAAGTTTTCATTGTTTACATTAAAAAAACATTCTAATAAATATTTAAATATTTAGATACTGTCGAAGAGCGTCGTTATGTTTTAATCAATTTCAATATGGCGAACAACACGTTAACTACAGCAATTGAACATTGGGGCGATAACAGCGTTACAAATTTGGACCGTGTAACCATCATGGATTGGAACGCGTAACAAACGTTACTATCAACAATGCTAGCTTATGCTTTCCAATATAATGATGAGTTTAAAGTATGTTCAATAATTTGTTGTTTGTTTTGTACTTGAAATCATAATTATTGTGTTTTTATGCTCTTTGCTTCAGTATTTACGCATCACAGATCTAAATATAAACTTGATGAATCCGCTGCGAATTGATTACTAACAAAGTAAGTTAGTTGTGATAAGTCATGATAGTCATATGGTACTTAAATAGACTTAAAATATATTTCCAACTGAGCTAAATGTCACCAAGAAGAAGGTTGCTCTTGCAAAATTTGTTAAATCGTAGCCCGAATTTAGCAAACTTTACCACGTTTATCACACACATACCAAATGCTTAGAGAATAAGTTCAATGTCCAAAACATAAATCGCGTAAAATGTGTATGTGCCAAATGGACTCCTCGAAACTATAACATAATAACATAAACTAAACTTAGCGTATTTACAAAAAATCTAAAATTTATTATACATGTTTCGATGCTGTCACAAGCCCGTGAATGTTTTCGGTAAAGATGTAAAGCAAAAGTTACAAGTTGTTGATACTTTTATCTGAACAATTGCTAGGTAATCGTCCGTGCGTTTCTTGTTATGTTATTACACACATTTCATGTAACATGAATCACCAAATATTATACATTCGCTATAATAGGGCAAATTTAAATTAGACTAGATAACAATACGGTTAATTTGATATAATAGATAAGGTATTAAAAATGTTACAAACGCTACGTGCATGCGATGCGCGAATGTGCAAAAACATTGTAATTAATAATAACAACAAAAGTGTCAACAGTCTCCAAATGATTGGCAAAGATTTTTCCTTCAAGCAACTCCTCCAACTTAATATATCTTCCACATTACATCACAATACATACATCTTGGATTATTTTATAAGAAAAAATATTCAATACTTATGGCAGTACAGCTCCATTCGAAAATATCGGAGTATAATATAATTATTTAAATAGAAGAAAGCCTCGATCCCGTCTTTAAATTAGACTTCATAGCAAAATAAAGAAAATCTTCGGTAATTTTTGGGTTTATAAGCAATCAAAACGTTGTAAATGTTATAATATTAGAAACATTGCATTAATTAGGTTGATTTCATGCTTTCAGTTCATTATTTTATACATGAAACAAGTAAAATATGATTTAATTTCCAGGAAATGAGTAACTGATAATTTTAAAAGATTTAAAGCTAAAAATCCTGAAGTATAGCACCATATTGCACTTTTAAAGATTCAAACAATTAAATACTTATAAACCCATTATTATAGAAACTAAATTGCACTAATATTCATTTTTTGGTAACAAATTCTTTGTTTTTGTTGACTTGTGATTCTCAACAAAGTTTTAATTAATCTAGGAACACTTTATAGTTATCAAGTCAATTCAAATAAAAAAGAAATTGATATGGCAAGTTCAAATTTCCTAAAATTCAACGTAAAATGTTTTAGAAACAAAATTTCCAGTTAAATCTAATCATAGCCATTCTTTGGTATTCTTTTGGTTTGGTTCCTGTAAGAAGAAAATGGCATGCACCTCCACCAATCAATGATGATTTCCGTAACTTACGAAGTCAACTCTTCCAGAAGTTCCTCCGTAGACCTATGCTGTTGCTGGAACTTTTCCATGATATCATTAGGCACTGTCCATTCCAACAGCGACCGAATGTTTCTCTTCAGCCTCTCCGCATCGGAGATATCCTCTTCGTTGCAAACAACTTTATTCGCATTCTTCAGTGATTCAATGAGCACCTCATCAATCAACTTCTTATTGAATCCAAGTTCTTCTAACTTTTCAGGCGTGGATATTCTCTGCAGAAGAATGGCAAGTAACAGGCGCATTTTTTCAACAGTCATTGGTGGTTGGACCACTTCCTCCGGTTTCACTTGATTGGCAACCGCCTTTTTTGTCTTTCTGCAAGACTTTGCATGATTTTCTAAATCGCTTTTAGTCTTGTGAAAAGTCTTACAATGCACGCACAGATAGGGTTTGTCTGTTTTGTGAATACAACGCATGTGTTTCTTAAGATGTGGCAGCTGCGTAAAGAAAACATTCTTACACAAGAGACACTCAAATGGTTTTTCACCAGTGTGCTGTCGAATGTGAAGTTTCAACGCGGTGGAATGCGCGAATGCTTTCCAGCATACTTTACACCGGTAAGGTTTCTCACCGCTGTGAATTCGCTGATGAACAGTGAGTTGTGACCGCTGCGCGAATCGCGCTTGGCAAATGGCGCATCCATGCGGTTTATCATTCTGATGTGTGCGCATATGTTGCGGTAAATGTCCCTTGAAATCTTTTTTGCAAATCTCACATCGAAAAGCTTTGATATTATTATGGAAACAATTCAAATGCTTCCGCAGCGCATCACGTCTAATAAAACTCTTTCCGCAGATGTCACAGACGAAATTTCGCACATCTTGGTGTTTATATTGATGCAATTTAAGATTCGCCGGGCATGTAAAGTCCGCCGAACAAATATTTGCATTTGTAAGGACGTTCGCCGGTGTGCGTGCGCTCGTGTTGCACCAGTTGACCGCCACGTGCGAACGTTTTATCGCAGTGCTTGCACTGATATGGTTTTACGCCCGTGTGCGTCCTCAGGTGCAATCTCAACCGCTCCTTAATAGGGAATGCTTTATGACAATAATTGCATATGAACACCGGCGGACTTTCCAAGTCCTCGTTGTGTTTGGAGGCCATGTGATTTTTCAACGAGCCGCATTGCCTGAAACCCATGTTACACTTCTCGCACACGTAAGGACGTTCGTCCGTGTGGATGCGCTCGTGCTTGCGTAGGTCGTTGCGCGATAAGAAGCGCTTCTGGCATGTGGCGCATTGGAATCTACGCGAGCGTGACGTGTTGTTCGTCGCCGCGGCGATCTTCTTCGACTGGCGTGTGATTTTCATGACTAGATTCGAGGGTTGAAGAAAGATTCCCCGACTCCCCAACCACCAAGACCGACATTTCACCGTGTGAAATGCAGTGACATGCAATTATTCGTGTGCGGGTCCATTGATTAAGTGTTCTATGTTTTGATTTTAAGTTTGAGGAGGATGAAGAGTTATGAAAGTTACCAACGAACCAACACCCAGTTACCTGCAAGAAGGGAGCCAAAATTTGTGCCACAACCCAATGACCTTCTAGAACTAGTGTAATTTTTGTGGAATTCATGCAAAAATGTGTGGAATTTGTCATGCGCCTCATGTTTACTTGGTTAATAATAACTCTACGCTATGTTTTATTAAAAAATAAATAAGTAAATTCAACAATTTACGCTGTAATCTACTAGAAATAAAAATGTTTACATAAAACAAAAGGTAATCTATCAATGGTGATATCAACATTCATACAATCCAATTGGTAATTCGTGTGTGTCGTATGTATAATTACGGTGTATAAAGAGTGTGTACGCACGAAAGATAATAATTTGTGATTCTAAGGGTGATTTAAATAAATTGAGATAGCAACGAGCATTGAACTTACCAAGTCGAGCGTTGGAAATTGCAACAGAACGATAGGAGACCAACCTTCTCGCCTCGAAACTTCACTTGACTACACTGACAGTGCCGATGTACGGAGCTGCGCATGCGCTTTCTCAATCACAGTGCCACCAACTAGGAACACAATAAATCCCTGCTACTCGCGCATGTTTAGTGCGCAACACAAGTAAAACAAATGGAATTCTAATTAACAAGGACAACGCAAATGAATGTGTGAATTATTTGAATGCACGTATAATGCTCGCATACAGTCAAAATTAAAAGAAAACTCGCTTAAAAATGACTCGCAACATTTTGGTGTAATTGTCCTGGATTAAAACGGTAAAAAACGTGTGAAATAATTCAAATCAAGCGCGTTGAATGAGATCGTTGTAGAATGCAGTCATGGCAATAAGTTTTTTGTTGAGGAAATTCTGTTCGATTTCGACGAAGCCTCCGGGTCCAGCTTCCTGAATAAGCTATAAAATTCAATAAAAATATAATTAGCAACATACAAGCACATTTTATGATTAATTTATGGACTTACAGGATAAGTGTTGCTATTCTTAGGTAAAAACAATGCGACACTCGTGGAAATCTTCCTGGCACTTTCCAGTAGCTTTGACAAGGGTAGTGGTTGCAACATTTCCTCTAATTCATACGTCTGCCGATGCAAATACGCCGGACCACCCCACGGTGGACTTAAAAACACCACATTCGCTTTCAGACGCTCAGCAATAGCGAAAAAGTCGCCATTAATAAACTCAATACGATCGCGCACACCATATACTTCTGCATTGTGACTGGCAAGTTCTATCTTTTTCGGATCAATATCGATTGCAATCACCTTTACGCATGTTTTTGCAAATTGTATCGCATTACCACCGGCCCCGCAGAAGGCGTCCACAATTACATCGCACTTGCAACGTTCCGCAATGTGTTTGGCTACGGTTTCCGGCGTTACTGAATACCAACTCTCTGTAAACAATAAAAAAAACATTTAAAAACATATTTTACAACATGGCGCATAATAACACTAACCTTCATCCAATTTAATGCCCATATCAAACTTATTAAAAAGAGAGAATCTTCGCTCCCAATACTTTCTCAACTTGGGATTCTCCTTAATTTCCGGTGGTAATTGTCGCTTCTTTCTGTCTCTAAATCGACGCCGTTTTTGATTTTTTGTTAATACTTTCTCAATCGCCGTCACAGCAATCTCAGCATCATTGGCAGGTGATAATAAATCCTCACTAGAACTAGTACTCTTCAAATCAACATCCTTGGCATTTTCTTCGTGCTCATAGACGATTTCATTTCCGTCATCGTCAAAGTATTTGTGCACAGGTTTGTGCAATTTGAGGTGCCTATTCTGCAACCGTATGTGCTTCATTTTGTACTCCACTTGACCATTGAGTTTTGGTTCACCAAGTTCGTGCAACTCAATTCCCATTAAATTAAAAGCAGATTTTACCCGGTCTGACATGGACTGTGCGCTCCCCTCGGATTCCAAGCTACTGAAACTATTAAAACTACATTTTTATAAAGTTAAAGTTGTTGTAATATTAACAATAATAATGTACCTCTTGGAAAGTTGTTTTTTGGCCTTTTTGCGACTGAAACTAGTCGGTAATCCTAAACTCTTCAAAGTTTCCTCATCAACCTCAGCTACATAATCAATATCTCTACTAGTAGATGGCACCGCGTCACTTCCGTCGTCCATTTTAATACTTCCCAGTAAAGCTACCACGTTCTCGACTGTCTTTCTGCGTATCTTCTTCCGGCTACTACCCTCTGTAGTATCTTCAAAGCTGCTATTATTACTCTTGTTAGCTTTGAAAGTCTTGTTGAATGATTGCAACACTTGTTGATTGAGTGGCAAACTTTGTGCAATTAAAGGCAACGCAGCTTCCTTCACGTCTTCGCCACCGGTTTGAATGGACATAAACTTTTTATACTGACGTAAATACTCGTCTTCGTAGTGTTTCTTCCAAAGGCAATTCCATTGATTATCGTGTTCGGCGTTATCATCCAAATCCTCCGAGCTAGTTGAACTCAGCGAGCTCTGCACAGAAGATACCGAAGAAAAAGATTCCGAATTTTTGGAACTTTCGCTTAGATCAATCGAAGAAACAGTCATACGAGTCACATTGGTCATAGAATCAACCGTTCTCAACGACCCTGATGCATAGGAACCACAGCGACTACTCAACAACAATCTTTCCGCTTCAGTCTCACAATCAACACTCAACGGAGACAAAGGATTCCAACCCTCCGAAATATCCGCGGTTAATTTATCAAACGAATCACTGTTGGATAAATTACGCACCAATTGACGATTGCGTTGAATAATATCCTGTCTCGAAGAATCCTTCAAGACTTGATTTTCATCAATCGCGGTCAAATTGCTCGAACCACCTTGCTCGCTTTTATCAAGTTTTTCAATATCGCGCTTGTCAAAAGAGAACTTACACTTGGAATGTTTCTGCGATTCGTCTTTGGCGTCGGCGTCGCCGTCATCGTCCTGAATAGTCGCCGTCAAGTAATCAGGATTAATGTAGTCGCTGTATTTGGTAATCCACGAGTCCCAAATGAGACGTTCGCCGTTATGCGCCCAAAAGCGGTGCCAGGCAGCGTCGGCGTCAGTGCGCGCGTGGAGTTCGGTGAGGTCGGCGCCGCTGTCGCTCGACTGGAGGCCGCGATGCGAATGCGAGTGGGAATGCGAATGCGTGCTCGTGCGCGTTGAATGCTCGCGGATGCTATCGTGTTCGTCGGTTGATATGTTATCCGTGTGTGAGGCACTACAGTAGCAGCTGACTACTTCAGCATCGACCTAAAATTAAATAAACTTGTAAAAATATAAAAGATATAATAAAAATCAACTTACATCAAGTTTAAGGTCGGAATTCCTGCAATGAAAGTCGTTTTCTAACAGGACATGATCCTCAGGAAAATCGTCCTCGGCTGGATCGTCCTTCAGGTCGCTCTCTGACGCTGACTCTTCATTGATTGGCCGATTACGTTCATCTTTCTCATCTTTGGTCCTAAAATTCAGAAAAAAATCAATTCAACTAAAATTCACAGCAAAATAATCATGAAATAAATAAATAACACGTAAAATACGATTAGTCCATGAGAATTTATTAATATTTTACATGTATATGTTCAACACACCGTAAAATCGATCTAAAAATAAATAAATACACGCTTAAAAATTTACAATTTTACAAATCAAAAGTAGACACGTTAAAATTAAGCAATTCGTTGCGAGCCTGAAAATATCCAGTATCCTGTGGGTCGTACGGATCCGGAACAAACGGCGGGGTAGTCTGCAGTAGATTATCCCAATCAGTGTTCGCAAAAATCGCCATTTCCATCACTTCCTTCGCCTGTGGCCTATCTTCAGCATTCGAAGTCAACAAACTTTCAATGGCACCAACAGTTTGCTCGCTCAGCGCTTCATCATCGGTAGGCCAGTCGATATTACGCTCCAAAATATTCTTAAACACTTTCTGGGCGCTGTCATCGTTAAACGGAGGAATACCAGTTACAAATTCATAGTAACAGACACCAAGCGCCCACCAATCCACAGCGCAATTATGCCCCTTTTGCAGGAGTAATTCCGGTGCTAAATAATCCGGAGTGCCTAAAATACGACTATCGGATGACCAATCACCACGTCGAACAGATTTAGGCGTCCTATACGGCGTTCGGAATGTAATAGGGGTTGTGTTCAATGGTGAGACCAATTCTTTGCTTTCATTTTCGGATTTTTCTAAGGTAGGCAACGGTTTTGTGGGTATAATATCTGAATCTTTACCTTGTGGCAAGTCAAATCTCAATATATGTTTAGGATTCTGTGGTTTTTGCGTTGAAACAGGCGTACTGAATGTGATTCCTTTCGGTGGACTCGTTGAATCCACCCTTAAAATCTCCATCTCGCCTGTTAAACCTGTCCGCACGTATGCTTTCCGTTTGGCTGGTGACGGTGATCGAAACTTTCTCTTTCGCTCACCCCGCAATTGATAATGACAACACCTTGATGGTACCCGATGACTTACAGGCGATGTACAAGATGAAGCTGATACTCCTGAACCAGTACTTTGATTGCTGCAATGCAGGCAGGAATGATACTGTGTGCTCTCCAAAGGTAAAGTTGGTGTGATGCCATTGACAGTCTGGAATGGTATCACACCACTTTCATTCAAATTCTTTGAATGTTCCATTAGCACTGATGACATTTCAAATTTATTTGTACTGTCAGTGTCAGAAGCTAATTCAGAAGCTGATTGTACATGTATGTAATTTTTAGAATTACCAGAACCAAAACTCAGATGCGAAGTTAAACTCAGCAGTTGGCCAGGTGTTCTTGCACACAAGTTGGGTGTGCCATTCTCAAAGTCACTCTTTTCAAGATCTCGATGAATGTGGACGCGAGAAAGGCCGAAATCCGTGAGTTTCACATGTCCATCTCGGGAGAGTAGCATATTATCTGGTTTGATGTCTCTGTGAATTATGTTGTGATTGTGTAAATATTGTAGGGCAAGACAAACTTCCGCCACGTAAAATGCGGCCATAACTTCGTCGAAGAAGCCATACACACTCAGAAGAGACTTGAGATCACCTCCAACCATGAACTCCATTACTAAGTAGACTGATGATGCTGTTTGGAGCGAGTAATAAAGCTGGACGCAGAATGGACTTTTTGTTAGCGCTAAAGCGTTGCGTTCATTGACGACTTGTGAAACCATATTCTTATTAACCATCTCGGTTTTCTTCATCACTTTGATAGCATACATCACCTCGTTGTTGGTTTTCTTGCAACCGAGGAAAACCTTGCCGAACGCGCCACGGCTGATTGGCTTGATGATGCAGAAGTCATTGATGTCTGGCACTTTTGAAATCCGCACGCTTTCGTTTTCTTTATTTTCGCCCATTGTGAAGGTGTTAAAATAAGTCGTAGTTGTTCTACTTAATTATTTCCATTCTTATTAGGTATTTGTAAATATTAAACAAGTGGAATAGAACGAGAAGAGCACATGTTTGTTGCTTTTCGAGAACAGCAACTGGCAAAAACCGGTACGTTTCTAAATTTCAAACTAGCAAACTAGGAAAATTAGAATTTTGTTGGTAGCACTGCTTCTCATATGCACGGTGTCCCAAGCGCGAATAACTCAAAAAACTATTATTATATGAAATATGATGATGTTTTACATGAAATACTACAAGTAACAATCAATATAAAATATTCCAACAAATTAATCTTAAAATATGAAATATTTTAATAAAGTAAATCGTTTATAAATTAATTCCCTTGAAGCATGTGGTATGTTTTAAGCGCAGTGTAGAACTGGTTGCATGGTAACAACCCAATAAAATCCAACCCCGAAAAAAACTTCCCGCAAACAAATCAATAAATATAAATACAAATTCATGAACGCCTGATTGCATCAATAAATTGGCTTTTAATTAAACAATTTCGTACATATAAATAATATTTACCTTGAAAAAGAGCGACTGCAGACGCAAAACACGATTGACGTTTGGCTGGCGTTGGGAACACGGAAGAGAAATTCGACTAGTGGATCCCACTGCGTGTCGCACATGTTAACGCTACCCCCGGCGGCGTTCCGTCACTGCTGATAATATTCACTAGCTTATCATCGCTGTGTGAAGTTCTTTAATTTGTTGAGCATTCAGGCGTCCACAAACAACCGAGTTTCACCTCATTTTTTACGAAAGTACTGTCAATGTAGCTGTCAGTATCTATTTGACAGCAAATTTAGTTACATACTTCCGTATTTTATAATTTGTACATAATTTACATAATCTTGAGAGGAATAAATACATTATAAATTGTTTATTTGTAAGTATTATAATTGTATTATTCAATTGTGTAAGGAATAATTCTTAATGTCGCTTAAATTATTTTAATTTTTAAACAGAATGTTAAGTTGGACGCAGTGGATCTGGTGATATTATAGGGGAGTTTCGTTTCGGGTGAAAGCCCCAACCTCGAACTCGGCGCTAGCAGCTCGCAGCTGTTTTGTTTGCGAACGTGTTGATTGACAAAACGCGATAGAAAAAAAACGTTAATGTGCGCGAAGTGGTGAAATCATCGAAATTCGTGCAACCGAAATCAACCGCGTTTATATGTCCCACGCGGTGCCGTGTGACCAGATTCCGTGCGTTTTCCAGACGCGCGCGTCCCACAGCGATGTGAGTTTAAGTTGAGTGTGATGATTACGAACAATACGACGTACAAGCTCAAGGCGGGCCAAGGAAGCAAGACCTCGCCGTCGTCGACCGCCGACGGCGACGGGGACGAGAGTCCCGACACCGACAACAATCATAAATTCCTCTACGTACCAGGAGTTCACCCAAAAGTGCGTGTTGCCAAACAATCCCCGGCGAATTTCTACATTAGCAAAGGCGCTACCAGCTGCAATGATCGCGACAGGCGCAATAACTTCAATCGTCGAGGAGTGCGTCAGGACAAAACATTTTCCTTTGGCCCGAGATCTACGAGGCGGGAAAGACCGCAACGAACGCGAACGAGACTACTTTTGATTCGCTTTCCTTATTCCAATACGGCAAGTATGCTACGCCGAGCGCCAACCCGCTGACGCGGATAAGAAGGCGGAAAAAGAGATAAAATTCAATTTGCCTGAAGACACGCGAATTTCGAAACTTTTACGTCGATTGAGCATTGAGGAAGACCCAGAGAACTCGTTACAAATCAGCAGGAAGCTGCTGGAAGTCCTGATGCTGCCGGAAAATGCCACCTACGTGCGAAAATCATTCGCTATTCTTCGTGATAGCATGCTGCACATTCTACAAGTTGCCCAGGCCCACAAGCAAAGAAACAATGTGCCCGCGCTTTCGGGCGCATCGGGTACATTATGGCCAGCGATACCTTTGATTTCACAAAGTACATCAAAGTCATTATGAAATTCAACACAAACTCCGCTCAGAACGGCAGAGAGGAAACGATCTGCCTCTTCATGGAAGCCCTAAAGGAGACTTTAAACATTGAGCGCGAGAACTCAATCATAGACAAACAAAAATGTATCTACTAATGCAGGAGTTAAACGCAAGTATAGAGCCGACGGAAAACGTCAGGGTTTTCAAACTGATTCTGGACAATCTCATGACAAGTATCGAGTTTTTCCCCAGCAACTTTAATAAATACTTCAAGGACACCATTGATTTTACTATTTGGCTGGCATGTGGATCACACACAGCCACTTTGCAACATACAATTCATTTCCAAGCAGCTTGAACGAGTTTCCGGGCATTTTCAAAACAATTTAGACTTTTCAATTACTCTACTGGTTCATTTTATCGACAGATATAGAGACATATTCAGATTTCGAGACAGAAAGTGTCGAACATGTCACTGCCGTTTAAGTCTAGCATTTCACGAAATGCTTATCAGTGCGCCAGGCCAACGAAGAAATGATTGCTGACGCAATGAAACAAATTCTTTCAACGATTAGCCAATCGGTCATCATCAAAGTATGCGATAATTTGATCATCGCCGCCAATGAGAGTATTGTTTACTATGAGCTTTATAATTCCATTCATCAAAATGCTGACGCAAATGAAACCACAGATTCTTTCGAACGATTAGCTTTATCGGTCATACATCAAATTGTATGCTCTTTGATTGATCTTGAGTTGATCTTGCCGAGTCCTACATGAACAGCTCATTGCTTTACTATTGAGCTTTTGATAATTCAGATTCATCAAGGAGTTGTCAGCAGATCTTGACATTGAATTGATTCCGAAGTTTGTTGACCTGCGTCCTCATTGGTGGAATTGAGCTACATACCCTTTCCCGGAACATACAGGACGCTTTGATTGCAGTTTATCAAGCCTTGTTGAATCTTAAAAATATACCGCTTCTTCAGGAGGTATATCGATTTCTGCTGGGCGATTTACAACTATCCTACAAACCTTTCATCGACGAAGAGTTTACCATCATCGAAAATAATCCATTTGAAGATAATACAGAGGAAACTGAAGGACAAGCACAGTTTAACTGTTTATTCCTTTTGAGATGTCTCTCACAATTGGCGAATGACAGTGGATCTATTGTGGGTATGTGGATATTGAAACCTAGTGTCCTAGAATTACTCGGAGTCTCCATGCAGCCGTATAATCATAAAGTTGCGCAGTTTCCTGTTTTGCAAATGTCTATTTTGAATTTACTATATTCACACTGCAAATGCTACAATTATTTTATCTCAAAGAGTACGCTAATCAATCCACCAACGGAATTCCCTGGTTGGTCTCCCACGTCAAATAATTTTACGATTATTTTGAATGTTTTGCATTCGACGTTGAAGAAAAGTGATAATAACGAAGTGAAATTGCTGTTGTTTCAAAGTTTTGATGAGATTCTTACGATCGGTGAGTCTTATATGGAAATATTGTGCACCAGATTGGAGTTTATGCAGTTGATGGAAGTATTATTGGAACATGCAAGTAATAAAGATCAGCGAATTGTGCTGAAAGTAGCGCAGATTTTGGAGAAACTTTTGTCAAATCGACAAATGCCATGGAAGAACGATGTGTTGATTGAGGTAAATAAATTGTGCAACTTACACATGACTTCCACAAATGACGCAGTACGAAATTACTATACTAAATTATCAGTGTGGATACCGTGGGATGTCGCCATTTTGAACGTTGAGAATGCAACGACTGCGAATGATATAGGAAAGTACTCCTTGAAGAATTTAGCTCTTGCAAAACGGATGCATCTAAGTGGCGCGGTTTTCGGTGAGATGCCAGGACACAATTTCAAACAGCTGATGAATTACCTTTTGAAAAACGAACCAGCTTCAGAGAATTTCCTCGAGAATATGTTGGCGCATTGCTGGCCACTGGAGAGCGACAGTGTGTTTTCCGAGCAGTATCGTGACTTGGCGCTGAATAATCGCATGGTTTTGTATAGCTGGGCCACGTGGGAAGCCGCACAACTATGTGTCAACAGTAAACTTCGAACACCACTTGGTAAACCCAATGAAACATTTACTAGTTTTGAGAATGCTTTGAAACAATTGGCGAGAGATGTCATGAAGATCAAACACGAAGGTGGTAAACAGCAGGTGAGCGATAGCAGAGTACGACTTTTACTTCAATTTATTGAACATCTTGAGATGGCAATGTATAACGCAGCTGAAGGTACAGCAGTTGCCATTCCATCACCGCAGAAACCAGTGCGTACTTTTTTCTGCACCAATGCAAGCACTTGCAGGGAATGGTTGTCTAGGATTAGAATTATTCTTGTACAACTTGCACTTCACGCCGGGTTGAATGTGGTTGCTGTTAGACATGGCCAACAACTACTTGCAGATCTACAAAAAGGTGGAAAAGTTGAGACATTGGAATTTGAACGCGCTGTTGTGTATCTCACCATGGCTTATGTAAATCTTCAAGAAAGCGAGGCAATCAGTGGGTTGTACGTCTGGTGTAAAGGACAAGGAAGAAAATTTGATTGGATCAAGTGCGCAGCGGAACAAGCCAACAAAAAATACGAAATCGCAGCGAATGGATATCAGAAAATCATTGATATAGGCGGATCACAACTGGATATTTACGTGAGGAATTTCATAAATGATCAGATTTTTGCCTGTTATAAGCAGATTAATAGCTGGATGGATATTGTGCAGTATAGAAACGGTAGGATGTATGTATTAATGTCTGAGGGCGAGAATGGTATGAGATATTCATTCAATACGGTGAATTTGGAGTGCGCGCAGAGTGTTTATAACTTGGAGACACTTACACATGCATTTGACGATTTAACATCATGGAAGGAGTTGGACTATGCGAGAGAATCTTGGAGTGTTTATGATGCGCTTCTTACTACGGAGAGTGATCTTTATCAAGTCGCATTGAATGTCGCCGCTGCGGATAATCAAATTCTCAATTCCACACTCGAGAAGGATTTGGCTAAAATTAGAATGGCGATGCAGGAGAATGCATTATTTGCTCCTGTGCAATTTCAACAAGATTTTACTTTGATGCATTATGTTGCTACAGGGTTACAGAATGCTGTGAATAATGTGTCATCAGCAAGTACAGCGTTTTTGGTTTCCGAAAATTTCGAGCTGGACGTTGAGAAAGTCGATTGTGCCGTGATGGCTAAGATTCTCTGGTGGACTGAATATTTTTGCCATTTGCAATTGCAACACCTAACAAAATTCTGTAATAATCTGCGATTGAATATTATTAAAAAGTCTAGAAAAGAAGGAAATATGACTGGAGCAACATCACAATTATATCGTCTCCTGGAAAATAACAGTTTACTACGTGTTGAAGATCAGTCCTCTGGATCAAACTTACTGATAAATATGTCAGAGTCGTTTAAATTGAAGATTCCCGAGATGAGAACATGGGATTTGGATGGAGCTAAAGCAGCGCAGGAACTTGTCAAATTGTTATACGACGAAACACCGACTGATCAGTGCAACCCGAAGAAATTAGCGTTTGATATCTGCGCGATTGCTTCAACTTCATTGTTTAAGAGTGCTGATATGTGCTCCAATCCGGAATTGAAACAGGTTAGTTCCAAAATTTTATTAAAATTAGGAGCATGGTTGCAGACAAATGAAATGTCTCTTACGGATTTGACTACACCGCTGGGTAAACTTCTCGTTGTTTTGCCCGAAATTGGTATTGAAAATATCGGTAATAATATTATACCTATGAATGAAATGGTCATTGGAAAGTTGCTTCAGTTTAGTGTCAATCAATGTCCGACTTTGGCAAAGGGTTGGCATGCTTTTGGGACGTGGTGTTATCGTTGGGGACGGAAAATTGTTGATAATAGCGCGGATTTATCAAATACTCTGACTTTGGAAGACAAAGGAATGGTTCAGGGATTATTGCCTACCCAGAATGAAAATCATGATTTTGACAGGATTTTGTTGATTCTATCACAAACTAGAGCTTATGTTGATGAGGAGGATATAGATTCTAATGAAATACACACATCGGATATGATTCGCAATCAATTAAAGAATGTTTCGTCATTATTCAACGCTTCTGAAGAGTTAATTGAGAAATTGGTGGATGTGTGGAGGAATCTGCAGAAGAGAGTCTACGCTTATTACGAACATAGTGTAGAGGCATATTTTAAATATTTACACTTGGCTACCCAGAGCGAGAATGTGTCTAAAGCCACAGAATCAAATACTGTGACGGTGACTTTGAGATTGTTACGATTGGTTGTAAAACACGCCTTGGAGTTACAAAGCGTCTTGGAGAAGGGCCTCACCACTACACCAACTCACCCATGGAAGATTATCATCCCACAATTGTTTTCCAGATTGAATCATCCTGAGAGTTATGTGCGTGAAAGGGTTTCTGAGTTGTTGTGTCGCGTTGCAGAGGATGCTCCACATCTGATCACATTCCCAGCTGTTGTGGGAGCACTTGAAGGAGGAGTCAATTTTGACTTCTCTGAAATATCTCTTCAAAAGATTGTTTATCGCAGGATAATGATCCCTCTGAAGATGCGGAGTTAAATGACATTGAAGAAGATGCTTACGAGAGTGATGAGGAGAGCAAAAATGTTCTCCAGGATTGTTTCAAGTCGATGGTGGAAACTCTGAGTAAACAAGCGCCTGAAACTATTACCCAGGTGCAGACCCTCGTTAAGGAGCTAAGAAGGATTATTTTATTATGGGATGAACTGTGGTTGGGTACACTCGCACAACATCATAGCGAGATCAACAAGAGGCAACAACAGTTGGAGTTTGAAATTGATAAGGTCAACCAAAATAGTTACCTATTCCCTGAACAGAAGATTGCATTGATTACAGAGAAACACCGGATTATTATCAAGCCGATTATTTTTATTCTTGAACAATTGTATGATATTACCCGGGTGGAGCCGGAAACTCCACATGAGAAGCATTTCCAAGAGAAGTATTTACCTCTGATTCAATCTGTGCTTCAAAAATTGAAGAATCCTGAAAACCCCGATGAGCCACAGGAGTCTTGGAAACTCTTGAAGGAGTTACAAACTCAATTCCAACAGAAGGCGCATAAACGTTCAGTGCTTAAAATGGAAAATATAAGTCCGATTCTGGCGAAGATTAAAGATACAGTGATTTCAATGCCTGGTCAGGACAATCCTCGATTTATGTCTACAAAAGTTTACATTTCACATGTGTCCAACCAAGTTTCTATTTTGCCCACTAAGACCAAACCGAAAAAGTTGATCTTCTACGGATCGGATGGTACCAGTTACACGTATCTCTTCAAAGGGTTAGAAGATTTACACTTGGATGAAAGAATTATGCAGTTTTTGAGCATTGCAAACACTATGATGGCGCAAAATACAGAAGGTACCGGCCATAATCTCTACAGAGCACGCCATTACTCCGTAATACCCCTAGGACCCAGATCAGGTTTGATTAGCTGGGTAGGTGGAACAACACCTGTGTTTGCTCTATATAAAAGGTGGCAGCAGCGGGAAGCTAGCAAAGCATCAAAAGTAACCAACACTGTTTCAAGACCTTCAGAGCTGTTCTACAGTAAATTGAATCCATTATTGCAAGAACACGGAGTTAAGAATATAGACAACCGGAAGGAATGGCCGCTGGTTGCGTTGAAGCAAGTGTTAACCGAATTAATGGCGGAAACACCGAGTAATCTCCTCGCGAAAGAGTTGTGGTGCCATGCGGTGAGTCCAGGTGCCTGGTGGCAGATTGTGCGTAAATATTCGTATTCCGTTGCGGTGATGAGCATCATCGGATATATCATTGGGCTTGGCGATCGGCATCTTGATAATGTGTTGGTGGACTTAAACACTGGTGAGGTGGTGCACATTGATTATAATGTGTGTTTCGAGAAGGGGAAGACATTGCGTGTGCCGGAAAAAGTGCCATTTAGACTGACGCCGAATATACGGGATGCTTTGGGAATTACTGGTGTTGAGGTGAGTGCAAATTTATTTATTTATATTTTTTTAAATTTGTTTTATTATATTTTATTTTTACGAGTAAATTAAAGAAAACTCGTAAAAATAAAATATAATAAAATTTAAGGCATGAATTGCATATTCCAGAACGAACATAATTTTTCTATTTTGCTTCAACATTTATTAGTTTTTAATATCTTTTCAAATTTCTTTACAATTAATTTCTAAAAATACTGTAATATAAATATACCCGTCGTACCAATTAGCAATAAATTAAATAACACAGCAATTAACATTAAATGCACATTTGCAAATAAAATACCACCGCGAGAAAATATTTACACTCTCATCGCAATCATTATCACTCTGATCGTCATAATTGTGTACTGGTTTCTTGACGCGCGGCGCGTTGTAATTCACTCCCATTAAAACAATTACGATGCAGTAAACAAACAGGTACTCGTTGTAGGTACTTATCGCTAGAACAAATTTATTTATAAAGCTAGTAATATCGGCGATGATGGCCCATCGCGTTGGTTCCTTATCACTGTTTCGGGAGGTGTCGTAAACAAATTTGATTGATCCGTTGCTCATATCCGCGAACGCGCTCGCATGCACCCGATTAGCGCGCTTATCAGGTGCAGGCCCGTAGTTTTTTTCGAAATACTTCAACTTGTTTGGAGATTTTAATATAATGCGTAGTATAAGTAATACATTGTAATACTTTGGAGTTTGACTGTTGTTTCAAAAAAAAAAAACAACCTGTAATACGTTCCTGTATGGAAATACTATTTTCGTGCGCGATGAGGTTATCGGTCGTGTTTGAAAAAAACGGCCGAATACCATCCACAGCTGCATGAATTCACATCGCAAATCATCGCGTGTATAAAATGTGTTAGGTTAGTGATTAAGTACATATTGGATGTTGTTTTTTGTTTAGTTGATGCATGTTGTAACTGTACCATCACTATGCTGCATTTCTTCTTGTTGTTTATCGAGATTCTTACCGTTTTTCGCTTGTTTAAAATCTTCCTGTAATTGTATCTCTATTCGGAGATTGTTATCACTTGAACGCTCAGCAGGGTTATTATTTTGCGACTTTTATCACCCGGAATGTGATCAGTGATGAAGTTTGGCTCCTTGTTGAGATTTCGCGGTGATTTACACTTTAGCAGACACCAGAATGCATTCCGATAGTTTTTACTCTTCCACGCGTAGATGAGTGGATTCATCCAGGAGTTGCTCACAGCTAGTGTAAAGACGGCTTCGTAGACTTCTGGTAGACTTCTGCCGTTGTATAATCGCATATAAGTTAACACAAAGAAGTAGGGAAACCAGCAGAGCGAAAAACAGCCGAGTATCAATAAAACCATCTGGAAATAATACAAAAGTGATAATTATTTCGTTGTATTGATGTTGGTTAATTAAAAGTATTCTTATATGAATGATTAGATGATTACAATGACTTTGTGGGCGGGTATTACTACACGAGCCTCACGACTTCATTATTGTGTCGTGTGCGCTCGATTGGTTCCGGACGGACGGCAATGGGCACGTGTAATTTGTTATTTATTTGGTTGCGCTGGCAGGATGTCCATAAACAATTGTGGCGGATATAGTCAAGGAATAGTATATTTTATCTCCTCTTAAACTTGATAAACATTTGTCGAATTGGTGTTGTCATGTTTGCACATTTTGCACTAAATTTAGCTGTCATTCTCACCGCACGCGATAGCAAATTATCAACAGTGAACTTAAAGTTAATTTTGACTTTCTAAAGAAGTGCATAAGTTCTAAATAGAAATTACTTCATGACTGTTGAGCCTGGAGTAGAAAGCAATTTAAACTTTAGTTTAAAGATAAACACTGTCATGTCACTGTTATGTTTATTCTCCCTAATTGTTCTCGGTAATTTGTCGAGAGTTTACGATGATGCCTAAATAATGTTTGCCGCCGCTAAATTAATTAATACTAGCATGATTTATGCAGCGTTTATTTTAATTTCGCCTAAATTGCATTCTTTCCGGCTGGGTCAACATGTGTTATTTTTGTATCCGATGATGGTTGTAAATGGTGTTTACACGTTTTATGCATCCATTACATTTGAGTAAGTAACGCAGTGATGGTTGATGGACATGTCGTCCAATAAAGTTTGTTTAAGGTCGAATCAAAATCGTAACTTGATAGGAAATTGAACTGAATGCGTGCATGCTGTCGATTTTTGTATTGTTTGTTATAAGACGTGATGTTACACATGTTCAACTTGCTCAAATTTCATTGCCGTGAGAAGATTTCATCACGTACATATTAATTTTATCATTAACATACGAAAATTTCAAGTTGCGCAAACACAAATTTCGAAATCATTTTTACCAAGTGGGTACTTCATTTAATTATCGCGATGTTTTAATTGATTTCATGCAAAGTTAAACATGATTTTGTTTGTTTCTCTTGCATTTCGCGCTGATGACACTGCGGTCGCGTCTTGTTTACATTCACGGACGTGCGCAAATCGGTCATATTTATATAAGCGCGGATTTCCACGCGCTGCACTCACCAAATTGCATTTCGATGCACATGCATTCGCGCGTAAAGATTTAGATTTGATTACATCGATACGATCTGAATGTTGTGTGTATTATTGTCGCACATTATGAATATGTGACGTACGTGGCGTACCTGTACGGATTTGTTTTCTTTGAGAGATTTGCGTTGCTTGGCGCTGGCGCCGGGGAAATTGGCTGCGGTGCGGAGGCGTTTTGCATGTTCGGCTGCCTCGCGCCATATTCGCATGTATAGCACGGACATCGCCAGCCAGATGGAGAGGAACATGGGGGTGATGATGAAGTTGACGTATTGTGCGGGCAGGACGTGGTCCTGTGTGCACTTGCCCGGCTCGTATGTGTTCCAGTAGATTGGCATTGATGCGATGCCGATGGACAAGCACCAGCCAGAGAAAACTATTGACCAGACAACTCTTCTTGTCATATGTCTGAAATTAAATGAGACATGAAGTTTAAAAATTAATTTTTTCACTGCCGAATTTTCAAAATTATGTTTTTGTGTACTTTTAGTGCAATAATTTTGATAAAAAAGTTATTTCCTACCAAAAATTTGGTATTACAGAAGTTAATTTACATGCAAAATTCATTAACACTCAATTATCTTAATTATTCTTTGCTAAATTACAAAAAAAAAAGTATTTTTACTTTACCTGCTGTAAAAAAATGGCAAAACAATGGCAATATATCGATCAGCAGCAATCGCAAGAAGATTGTAAATAGAACTGCTGCATGCCAATATAATAAGGACGAAGCGCAGGATGCAGGTGCTCTCGTGCGATCCCAGATAATCATCGATGGTGAACGCCAGATGATATGGCAGTGTCAGCCCCACGAGCAGATCGCTCACCGCCAGACTAAAGATGTACCGGTTCGAGAGCAGTTCCGAAATCTTTTTGCTCAACTTGATCGCGCAAATTGTCAGAATATTCCCGGCTAGCGTTAGGCATATGATGATCGAGTCGATGACGATCCACGTAATCACCTCGGGAGCTATTTCCGGTCCATTGGTGCCATTCACTGATTGTAAAGTGTAGTTTTTATCGAGGTCTGCCATTATTTCTTGCTTTTATAACAGACTTTTCATTTTTTGATTAAATATTCTTTTTAAATTTAGACTACTTTGATGATTGTTTCGATTGAAGTTCATTGAAAGCGTTTTTTTGGCCGCCGTTCAAAACTGCACTTGAACACGCAATGTGACTGCCACTGGAAAACGACACTTGGTTTTATTTTCTATCGACTCGCCTTAAACTTGAGTTTTAATAAGTCACCTTACAAAGTTTACATGGTTGCAAACGTGCGTTGAATGTTTTACTACGATTATTATTTGTTGAAAATTTGAAGTATACTCTGGTCAGCCATGAGATTTATGCGTTATTATTTGTTTTACATCAAAGCACGAATTTGAATTTTTTCAAGCGTTGCAGGCCGGTAAAAACACTTTTTTACACAAACACTTTTGTAGTAGTTTATTTTTATTGTTATGGTATTATTTACGCTGTGTTTATTTAATTACATTTTAATGCATTATTCGGTTGTCTTTCGGAATGAAAGTTTGTTATCGAACGCGCGCCGATTGAAAGCTATCCGATATACTGATGATTAACGGTTTTGGCCGCGTTAACGCGTAAAAATGCATTAACGACCAATTATTTTATTTTTTTGCGCGAATTTTGTAGTGGTCTTTACGATATGCGTCCGGCGAGCGACTAACGCATCCGACGCGTGCTCGAACTGCGCCAGCCGGCCGCAAAGTGGAAGCGAAGCATGGTGGCGAATCCATTATCCGATAGAATGTCGAATATAGAATAAATCGCGGTATGAGTGGCGAGCAATGTGCAATGTCCAAATGCACTATTTTTTTATATGCTGCTGCACTTGATCAATCAAATCAAAAGTAATGCAGACATTCTTTCCGCGTTTTTGTATTCGTATATTTTGGATGACGTCATTTGGAATTTTGCATGTAACTATTAAAATATTGTTCGATGATTTTCTGTTTGCCGCTGGCAAATATTTGGTTGGTTACGGCAAACGTCCACTTGATAATAGCTCTTTCGGTTCCACCTATTGGTTAATAATAACTTTATTCGAATTAGTAAAGATGATATCTTACCTAATGAGAGTTTAATGGAGTGTTTCATGATACGTACTTACTTACTCTTACTATTCCCAGACGCGCACTAATTAAGTGCGCTGCATTCACATTTGGTTGATTAAATTTGTGTGGCGTGCTCTTTTTCTGACATTGGAAAAGTCTAATTTTAGTTGAATTTCGCAGGGAATGTTCCGGCTGGCTTGCGAAAACATCCTGAAGACGATGAAGAAAGGTCGCGAGACACTTCTCACGCTGCTGGAGGCGTTTGTCTATGACCCACTTGTTGACTGGACTGTCGGAAATGATGGATTGGTAGGCACTACTTTTGGGGGCATGTCGACTTGTGCATCACATCGCCAAACTCGAAAGGATCTGAAAAGGAAGTAACACTCGCGATGTACCGTGTGCGGTGCAGCGAAGTGAAAAACGAATGGGATTTTAACAAGTATGTTGAAAAATTATTTAAATTTTTATTAATTTAAGAAGGGAAGATTAAATATTTTTATTTCAGATGTGACATAACAAAATTAATTCCTGAATTGTACACCTTGGTGGACACATGGTTCGAACTTCAACAACAATCGACATCTACCGATGATATGCTACAAGATTTGCATCAACAGATGGCTCTTGTGAAGGAAGCGGAAGCCAATGGCCCCTTGAAACATAATCTCCAAACGTTGCCAATTAGGTTCGAAAACTTTAAGAAAACGCGCGATACTTTCACTCAAGCTCGCTCTGACTTGGACAAACTTCAGCAAGAGTGTGGTGCTCACATCCAACAATACGAAGAATCGATTAAAACGCTGCAATCGCAACAGGTCCAACAATGGTATATGGAATTGAATAATTCTGGCGGAAGCAAAGTGAAAATCTATGAAATTGTGAAAGATTTCCTACAAAACGCAGGGCAAACAAATATGATTGCTCAATGCGACCAGCTCGAAGCGGAAGTGTTGAGTAATTATGAACAACAACAAATGTTGACGCTGAAGTGCCTCAACTTGCTACAAGAGTATTGGGTGGTTTTCGCTCAGTGTCCGCCATCTTTATTGAGGAACATCGCATATACTACTATCTTAAGTGGGCAAAATGCTGCTTACATCTGATAATGTCACAACATGCGAAATGATCTACCAACAGGTTTTCGCGTTCCTGAATCTTGCAACTAAACCAATCAATGCGATTATTGCATATAATTATAAACTGAATCTGGTTTATAATAATACCGCTACGAAGGTAGCGAAAGCCTACGAGGATGTCCGCACTGAAGAACCGCGTGTGTTGGAGAAATTGTACTCTGAAGCGAAATTGTGCTTGATTAATTTCGTCAAGCGTGAGAAACAAGCCCCGAAAGCATTGGAGTTTGTCATTGTTAGTGAACTATTGGTATTGAACCGAACTTTCCTTACCCTGGAGACAGCCGCATCGAAAACCGGTGATTGGTTGATCAAACTGACATCCCGTGATGGTGATTGGTTCCTGGACGAATTAACAGTCAGCTGCAGTAAGGCTATTGAGTTGATTAGTTATTTGCAGTTGGATAATAGCATTGAGGATACCAATTTTCTGCAAGTTGAGAATGGTTTGAAAGCGGCAAATAATTTGTATAGAAGTTTGCACGAGTTGAATTTTAATTTCCATACGATTATTCTACCAGAAAGCATCAAGAAAATGCAGTGTGAAGAGGCAAGTGTTATGGGGATGGTACATGAATTAAACGCTATAGTTATGAGTGTGGGACCGATCCAGGATTTGGTTCTCCAGTTGGAAAAGAATCTAACTTGCGTTGTAATGGAAATGGACTACGGTTGCAATGAGGCATTTGATCAGAAGATGATGACATTGAAAGGTCAATATCAAGGACTATTGCAATCATCGATTAGTATGTTAACACCCGGAAAAATGTTGCTGATGGGATTTAATGGGCTTTTTGATAAATTGCATTTGGAGTGCAATAATGTTGTGAGTTTGCTGGGAAATTTGAAAGTTTCACCAAGTTGGAGAAAATTAGATCAGGTGCGTGAAGCAAAAAGTTTAGCTGCGCCGATCTTCAATCCTCAAGTTCATGCAATTTTGAATGATATCTTTTTACTGAAACGTTTGCAAACGATGTGTGAGTTCTTTGCATTGTCAATGGAAGTTTGTCAGTCGTTCAAAGGCATTGGCGATAATGTTACTATGTTGGACGATGAAGCGTTACTCAAACCGATTCGGAAGTTTATCGCTGATTTTATCAGTCGACAATTTCTGGGCATTACTACCGAAGCCATTGCATATGCACAATGTTATTTGTTGCAGAGACTAGGCCTGGATGTAACCAACGAAATTGAACAGAAGGATATCGGTGCCGAAAATAAAGTCCCCTTGGACGAGTTATACCATAAGGGATGGAATATTTTCCTTAAAAACGGCACGTTCAGCCAGAATGTACTTGCTCAAGCGAGTAGTGTGGAGTCTAATCTCAAAAATGCTTGGGAAAAGATTCAGGAACCGAAAAAATTGGAAAAAACACTTACTTTACTACAGAGTTCTTTGACCAGACTGCAAAATCAGTTGACTGTGCACAATTGGTTACATGAAGAAGTCCTACAACAATCGGACAAGTGCAGTTACATGCGCAGTAAGTTTATTGTTGAGATGGGCAATAAAACGGCTGCGTTGAGTCGCCTCCAAGCGAAAGCAAGTGAAGTACGCGAAAAGCAAAAGACCTTGATTGCTAGTATTTCGCAGAGATTGAAGTGGGCCGCAGGCGCTAATCCAGACTTGAATGAAACACTGGCCCAGTTTGAAGTGGCTGTAACTGTTAGAGAAGACCGACTTACTTTGGAACAGCATATTTGCGGGGCGACATTGTCAACTTGTAGTAACATCTTAAGATATGAGCTCTTGAGATGCTCCACACCGGAGTCTAAATCTTGCGATCAGATTTTCCTAAGAGGGTATGAACAGTGGGTGTCAGCTTGCAGACTTACGAAAGTCAAAGTTGACGCTGTGACTCCTGTTGAGGAAAATATTATGAAGTTTTACACTGCTGAAATGGAAGGTGATCCAAAGTGGACGCTCTTGGTGTCTGATAAAATCTCCGACACGATTACATCTACACAAGCGACATCCGCCGAATTGAAAGTGAATGTGTTTACGGCAGCGACCAATATTAATGCTAAACTCGAGGAGTTGAAAGTGTTGTATGGCCGACACAGCAACGTGATGAATGATTTTAAGAGTTTGATTAAGGCGATGCTGAAAATTGAGGAGTGCGCCGTCAAAACACAGAAGTTTGTTTACGAGTATCGCCAGTACGTGGAAAATTTTTCGAGCTTGTTTTATAACATGAAGAAAGAGCTGAGTGCGGAAGAAATGGGCGCGATGAGACGAAAGTTGGAAGCGTTGGAAGCCAATTCAGAGGCGGTGCATCGAGATTTGTTGCAGTTGGAGGGTAGAGATGGAATAATTGGGCGAAAACAGTTGGTACGGCAGGAGGGTGTGTCGCTCAGTCCACTTCGAGCTATGCCCGGCAAGCAGGAGAGTATGACCAAGGGACAGCAGAGGAATGCATATGCAGTGGGCGTATGGCGTCGGGTAAGGATGAAATTGGAGGGTAAAGATCCGGATCCAGGAGGAAGTATTCCACTCAGGAACAGGTAAGTGCTCCAGCCTGAATGATATTCTGTATGAAGTTTAACGAATGTTTCGGTTTGTAGGTGGATTATGTAATAAGAGAAGCGACGAGTATTGACAACCTGGCCCTGCTGTACGAAGGCTGGACGCCGTGGGTGTGAACGAGGGGCGCGATCAGGTGTACGGCAGCCTTCCGGCTGTCCGGGATCCACTCTCTCTGTTTAACCCACTAGGAATCGCAGCGTCGCAACGTGTCCCATGTGTTGCGTGCGCCATTCAAAAAGGGCCGTCAGCAAACACCACCAGCCAGCTAGCCAGTCAACCAGCAAGCAGCATAGCATCATCTCGTTACTATTGGAGTGCTTAGTAATATTGGCAGTTGGCATTTGGGGCGTGCCTCAGGCGACGCCATGCTGAGCAAACAAATTCATAATTTTAACAAGTACTTTGTTCGACGGTAAAAACACAAAGCAAAATCAGAATATTAAACGAAGGCAAGAGTTGCGGCGCTGGCCCCCCTGTTTCGGGTTACATTCGTCGAGCGCCCAAATTCACTGCGTGGATATTCTTGTCTGTTATTGAAATAAAATAAAAAATGAAACAAAAAAGCGTAAGATCCACGCGCGGTACTTTAATGTACCAGCGTACAATTTGGCCGAAATAA